TCAATCACAAAAAATATGTTTCCTATGTATATAAATGGTTCTGATATTAAGCCAATCAACACTGGAGGTCGGAAAAAGTTGTTTAGTTTTTTTTATGTCGGGAAACCTTCAGAATTGTGGTATTATTCAAGGGAAAATTGAAAACAACATAGACAAAATATTTTTAAGAGCAAATAAATAGTCACAAAAAAACATATTTCATTAGAAAACGTAAATGAACGCTGTATATACAGAAGCTCAATCCAACATTTTTTGTTCAATATATTGTGCTTTTTTTGCGAACAAACAAGTGTTGACAGCTGGTCATACCAGCAATCCATGTAAGGAAAGTCCCGAATAGGCCAATCAAATTGGTTTGCTGCAGCTCAGATGATGTTATGTTTCACTAATCTATTCAAAAACAAAAGTAACAAACAAAACATTTCTTACACATTCGTTTTTAAAGAATCGTTATCCGGTGACCCGGGTTTGAAACCAAGTCGATGCGCTAGTGCCCTTTGGTAAGGCATTAATCCTCATTACCAGGTCCCTCGGAGAGGACCTTAAGCCGTCGGTCTTCTGGTTGTTTACTAACAAGCATTTATTGCTTTCTTAGCTGTCAGGTAAAATAACCACCACTATCACTATCACTATCACACGAGAGATTTTGTGAAGCTCACAATGTAAGAAGTAGAAAAAATACACTTACATATGAGGAAAGCTACTTGGATGACAAAAAACGCAACTGGATCTGAAAGCATGCATCTGTAATTATTGTTTCATACATAATCATATACATTTCACTGTACTAAATCTGCAGATTTTAACTCCACTCCATGATGTCGCAAACCAATATCTTTCTCCCAAAAAAAACTTCCCCGGCTACCATTCCGGTGCTGTTCCGATACAATATGCCCTTTTTAAAATACAAAGAAGAGACATGGAAAGTGTATTAAAACATGGATTTAAATAAAAGGTGGCAATATAAAGATAGATTATTATCTATCAGTAAAGAAACGAGTTTTTTTAATCACATACAGTACATTCATCTTAGACATATACAATTCACGTATTTCATATTTCTTAAATCGTACGTGCTAGAACCTACATGTGTAATAACGCAGAACACATGTGTAAATACTTTGCGATGAGAAGAAAAAAAATAGAAATTGTACATAAGAAAATTAAATTATTATCATCCAAAAGTATAAATTGATTTAAGATGGCATTGACCAATAATTGGAATATTGGAATAAGATAATGGGCTGAGTACAAATAGAAATGGATATCATGTTCATTATCTAATAAATATTCCCTCCTTTTTCATTACAATAGATTTATTACTGAAACTGGCTCTATGGTTTACTTCAGTTTATTCCTAGGAACATAAATCCTTTTCAAACGCAGTAGCAATTACTTTCCCAAAACCAACCTTCTTTAATTTCAATTACCTTGTGCATCACCTATTGAAAAGTGCGAACATGATACTGACGTGTTACGTAATCCGGGCACTTCTATGGGACACACAATATGGTATTGAAATTACGTTCAAGTCAATTTTTGAAAAATAGTCACGATTGTTCAATTTTTCAATTCAATTCAATTCAGAACTTTATTTCAGACTCAGCTCCACAAGGCAGAGGTCCATAAAACATATGGTACATGTAGATAGGGAAAAGAGTTGAGTATGAACATGATGAGTATAATAACAACAAATCGTACAAATACTAAAGAATATAACAAACTAAACTATACTACGTATATACAATGTAACTGTAACATGTAACCTGTATCTGTAAAATTCATAACAGAAGGCCTATAGCAATCTAACTCTAAGCTGTACCTGTAACCATGGGCGTCAATCCTTACGTAATACCTATTGTTCAGTGGGGATGAATGAATAGATCCCCTGAACAATATGTATCAATTACAGATCTACGCCCATGCCTGTAACTGCAAGATTAAAATGAATATATGTATAACAAAATGAAGTTGTAACTTAATTGTAACAATATCTGCTCAACTAACTAGAACAATATACTAATAATAGATAACTAGATATTATAACAAGCAACAAGGACTAAGGACTATACTGCAACCATGAGAGGCTGGATAATTCTTGGTAACATCATGCAAAATATGATCAATTCCGAGGTGTCAGCAGGCTATTAAGCCAAAATTTCCAGAGGCCCGATGTGTACCTAAGGCAACTACACGTGGGGTTCACTAATACCTTTACAATACCATTCTCAGAGACATCCACTCTCTGGATGAACTTATACTTGAGATTTCGTAATACAGCCGAACAGACTGGAACATTCAACTCAGCAAACATTTGACTAGCACTAAAGTATTTAGGTACCCTAAGAAGCATTCTCATGGCATCATTATAGGCCACAGTAAGCCTGTGCAAACTGCTCTTCTTAAAATTACTCCACAGATGCGCAGTGTACAAAGGTGTACAGTATGCCCTAAATAATGCCACCTTCACATCCGGAGAACACATATGAAATTTCCTAACGAGCATATTACCTTGAGCATATAATTTACGACACTGTCGACTAATATCTTTATCATCACAAAGGTCCTCAGTAAAGAAATGACCAAGATACATGACCTCTGTACACACATTGAGTTTAGCTCCACATAAATAAAAATCCGGGAATACCAATCTACGGTATTCCTTACATATAATTATCATAACATGACTCTTTTTAAAATTATATTTGACATCATTATCATATCCATAATCAGAACAAATCTTGAGCAAACTCTGCAACCCAGCAGTTGACGGGCTAATAATAACGAGGTCATCTGCATACATTAAATGATTGACTACTATACTGCCAACTACACAGCCTTTTTTACAAGCATTCAAATTGTCGGATAGACCATCCATGTACAGGTTAAAGAGAAAGGGAGAAAGAATACCTCCCTGTCTAACTCCATTACTGACATGGAATGGTTCAGACACACTACTTCCCCATCTAGCCATCATTGTTTGATGGGTATACCAGAACACGAGTATCCTAATCAGGTACTTAGGAATACCTCTATCAGCCATTTTCGTAAACAGCTGTACATGATTTACCCGATCAAAAGCTTTGGAAGCATCAAGAAAACAAAGAAACAAGGAAGAATTTCTACTACGATAACTTGCAATAATTTCCTTCAGAGCAAATATACACAGTCATGTCAGTGCCATGTTTGGCTTTACAACCGAACTGGTTATGTTTAGTAAGAATATACATCTCCAACCTACCAAGCAATATCTTTTCCAGCACTTTGGACAGGACACTACAGGCCAATGCTATAGGTCTATAGTTGTTCTTACTAGTAATGCGACCAGCTTTATTTTTAATGACCGGCACCAAAACAACGGAAATCATACTATCTAGTAAGATACCATGAATCGAAAATCCGGAAATGCACATTGCAAGCAAGGGCATGAGTTTCGGACTTGCAAACTTTAAATGTTCAGCTGTTATAGTATCAAGACCACATGACTTATTTTGGTCTAATTTTCTAATAGCTTCTTTTACCTCCTCAGGAGAGATAACCATATTTACATCAAAGTCAACATTAGTAACATCCTGCACCGTACTATGTACACAATTAAACAAATCCTTATAATGGTTACACCACAATTCAACCCAGAGTAGGTGAGCCTCACGAGCAGCAGAGTGGAGCTCTGACACATGCTCATTCCAGCCAGGCCTAGTATTATGAACCTTGTTTTTACAGTGATATAGAGATTCACTAGCGTCACATAAGCATTTCGCAATGTCATCATATGTATTACATACATAATTAGCATGGTCATTGTTCACACAATTGGAATCTCGACATAAAAAAGCATCGTGTTCATGTACATTAAATCCCTTAAGCAATAAATCAGTATCACAGCAATAATTATTTCTACGATTTATATCAATCTTAGTCCAATCTAGCCTGCCTTTATGTACAGTGTTAGCCATGCCTGAATCACGTTGCCAAGGCAAATTGTCAACATCAATTGACAAATTAATAGGAATATGATCGGTTGTAGCAAATCTATACATAATTTCCATCTTCTCTAAAGAGGCATTAGCATCTGCTGTACATATACAATGGTCCAACATGACGTGGTATGCCATGCTTCAGTAACATAAGTGTAAGTATCTGCAGGTAAATAATGCAGACTTGATAACACAAAATTATTATCACAACAAAATTGTCTCAAATGATTTTCAAATAAGGAACTTTTGTCAGATATGTCTGCGTTCCAATCACCTACCACATAAACACTGGTAGTGTCTAGCTCAGAAATAACCGCCGCAATAAATGCTATTTTCTCAAGATAATCACTTTCATTTTCAGGACACTCATAAGGTCTGGAGTGTATATATTAATGATGACAAATTTCTTATCATCAGTTTTGAATTCAATCCCTACAGCCCAATCAACATTTAATCTAACTTCACTAATTAAGTGTTCATAATTATCTAGTGTGCCAGAGTATAGCCACCCCACCAGGTATACGACCCCGAACCAGACTATTTCTGAGATCTGTAGTAGACTCACCAATACCATGATATAACGAATGTAAAGAGTTAATTCCATTTAAATATTGCTTAGCTAACCAAGTTTCTTGAAGACAGATGAGGTCTACCTCATCCTGAAATAGTTTTTCAATGACAAGACGACGAGATTTCTCTGCACTGCTCTGCCCAAGACGCAGCCCACGACAATTATAACTAACACAATTGAACTTAATTTATAAAAGGGTAGCATAATCCAAGCTAGGGCTCTCTCTGGCTCTTCTCTTCGAGTATTGAATATAACATGAGAGATATATAATAAAAAGTAGCTAAAATAGAAACGTGATATAAGTTTGGTCCAAAATGTTCAACAGTTTCTCGCTATGTTTCGAAAATAAGGGCGGTAGTTGTGTTGGAATCAAGGAGTCAAATGCGACTAAAAACAGCAGGAGCTATCCTATATCCTATTTATTATTTTAACCAACCTGGTTCGGGACCATCCTAGAGCACCTTTTTAGCTGAAGTCGTTTCGGTCTCCATGGTATTGGTACCTTCCTGTGGCGGCTTCTTCGCTGGTGTACTTTCAGTCTTAGGTTTCTTCCCTGCAATTGCAGTGGATGTCCCTGCTTCGTTCTCTTCCTTGCCTAACTGTGCGGTCCCCGACAGTGCTCTTGATCCTTCTTGAAGTGCTGAATGACAGGAATCTTCAAATGACAATGATGATGGTGGTGATTAACGTAATAGTACTAATAATAGTAGTAGTAATACAAAATAATGAAATAATAATAGTAATACTATATCAATGATAACGGCAATTTAAAAAATATATAATTTACAATTAATGATTTTAACAACAACAACAATCCTGACTGTAATAAAAAAAATATTTCAACTTTATTTTGATGAAGAGTAATAATTATAGTAAAGATTATGATATTGATAATGAAATAATGAGCATACGAATGAACAACGTAGCAGCAAAAGCTGATTCTCATAGGGGTCTACTGTATGTTTTAAAAGATCATGAAAAACCAGATAAATCAAATGAAATAAATTATGATAAAATTAAAGATAATGATAGTACCTGAAATGGAACCATGATATAAGTTTGATCCAAAATTTGTAATTGTTTCTTGCTGTTTCGAAAATAAGGGCGTTTGTTATGTTGGAATCAATGATTCAAATGCGACTATAAAACAGCGGGAGCTAATTGGTTAATGGGGGGGGGGTTGTGGCGTGCGCCTGTATTAAATCCAGCTAACAATCGAAATTACAAACTGATTCAGCAAAAGAAGCAGGTTCGAAACTGTCGGTCCCCATAAATAAATAATCATATCTGATTGATACACGTCTGTAAATACCCAACTACACACATACATTATACACATGGTTATTGATGCGGTCTTTGTTAACATTTCATTAAAGGGAGAAAATCAAAACATGTTGACAGTGGTTTTGCTAAGCATAAATGGGAGAGGGATGATTATTGGACCAAGTTTATCCACAAGCAAGCCAAAAATTGCCCAACGTAAAATAAGGGGTCTGGAGTTTTTTTTATCATTTGCTGACTGGGGGTGGGACAAAATTTACGTATCAGGTTTTCTATTACCCTAAGAGATTCCTTTTTTGTTACGTGTACAAAAATAAGATACGAGATTTGGAAAATTAGATTTTTGGACAAGGCGAAATGTCCAAGCGAAAGAATATGTTGGAAGAAAGCAAAGTTTCAGCAATGTATACTTACTGCGTGTTTTCTTATTAGGGGCGTCCTTTTCTTCTGTTGCTTTCCTTTTTGCAGCTGATTTCTTTGATGCATTTATCTCCATTCCACTCTCTCCATTTCCACCTGCGGACGTCGACTTTTTCAATGTGGATGCACCTAAAACAATAGTGAACGGTAAATGATGGAATGAAAGAAGTAAGAATAGATATTCAGTTTAAATGTCACATTCAAAACGCATTTCACTAAATCCTCCATTCAAATATAATTTTGTATAAATTATACAATTATACCATTCTGATCTTTGCAATCTGAGAAAGAAAAAACCGTTGGTCTGCCAAGACTAGTAATAAGTGCGATGGAAAAATAGTAATAATATCTCAAAAGATTAGTAGTTACCATGGTTACATATTTAAACCATGCCAATACTTAATATCGTATGACTCTCCTTTTTAATACATCCCTTTCTGACAAAAAAAATAGCTCCATGATCACCGTCAAAATGCAAATCTTACCTTTAGGTTGTGCTCCTTGATCAACGAGGTACTGAACTACTTCAAGATGACCATCGTCTGATGCCAAATGAAGAGGTGTCTGACCATCACTATTACTGTTCTCAAACGGTGCTCCTTGATCAACGAGGTACTGAACTACACCAAGATGACCATTGCTTGCTGCATAGTGAAGAGGTGTCTCACCATCATTATCACCCCTCTCGACCTGTGCTCCTCGATCAACGAGGTACTGAACTACTTCAAGATGACCATTGACTGATGCCAAATGAAGAGGTGTCTGACCATCACTATTACTGTTCTCAAACGGTGCTCCTTGATCAACGAGGTACTGAACTACTTCAAGATGACCATCGTCTGATGCCAAATGAAGAGGTCTGACCATCACTATTACTGTTCTCAAACGGTGCTCCTTGATCAACGAGGTACTGAACTACACCAAGATGACCATTGCTTGCTGCATAGTGAAGAGGTGTCTCACCATCATTATCACCCCTCTCGACCTGTGCTCCTCGATCAACGAGGTACTGAACTACTTCAAGATGACCATTGTCTGATGCCAAATGAAGAGGTGTCTGACCATCACTATTACTGTTCTCAAACGGTGCTCCTTGATCAACGAGGTACTGAACTACACCAAGATGACCACTGCTTGCTGCATGGTGAAGAGGTGTCTCACCTTTACTATTGATCCTCTCGACCTGTAATCCTTGACCAACGAGATACTGAAGTACATTGAGATGACCACTGTGTGATGCACAGTCAAGACATGTTTGACAAAACTTATCACTCTCCTTAACCAGTGCTCCTTCACCAATGAGATACTGAACAACATCAATATCACCATTTAGTATTGCCCAGTGAAGTGGTGTAATACCCTTAGCATCACCACTCTGAACAGGTGCGCCTTGACCAACGAGATACTGAACTACATAAAGATGACCATTATGGGATGCCAAGTGAAGTGGTGTCTTACCCTCGTTATCCTCCAGGTCAATGCGTGCTTTGTTATCAACGAGGTACTGAACTACTTCAAGATGACCCTTGTCTGATGCCATGTGAAGTGGTGTCTTACCCTCCTTGTCCTTCAGGTCAATGCATTCTTCGTCATCTTCATAACTGGAATACTCAATAGTATTATTCTCCCTCTCAACCTGTGCTCCTTGATCAACGAAGAACTGAACTATACATCAAGATGACCAATGAGTGATGCCAAGTGAAGAGGTGTCCGCCCATTATTATCACTCTTCTTAACCGGTGCTCCTTTATCAACGAGGTACTTAACTACTTCAAGATGACCCTTGTCTGATGCCAAATGAAGAGGTGTCTGACCATTACTATCGTTCCTCTCAAACTTTGCTCCTTGATCAACGAGGTACCGAACTACATCAAGATGATCATTGTGTGATGCACAGTGAAGAGGTGTTTGAAGAACACTATTACCCCTCTCAACCAGTCCTCTTTTACCAACGAGATACTGAACAACATCAAGATGACCATTGGTTGACGCCAAGTGAAGTGGTGTCTGACCATTATTATCACCCCTCTCAACCTGTGCTCCTTTGCCAACGAGATACTGAACTACTTCAAGGTGACCATTGCCTGATGCACAGTGAAGAGGTTTCTGACCATTATTATTCCCCCTCTCAACCTGTTCTCCTTGATCAACAAGGCGCTGAACAACGTCCAGCTGGCCATTTAAAGCTGCCACGTTAAGGGGAGTATTGACCTCACTAGGCTCATTTGCTGCTCTTTCAGTCATGTTTTGCTTTGTCTGTTGACCCAATTGTTAAACGAATCTTATTGATGTTTCTCCGTTCGTTTCGTGTTTGTCAAAGTCACCTTTGCGTTATGTAAATAATTCTCGGAAGAGAATAAATACGTCAATGAATTTACCCGCTCTACAGCCTGAGAGGTATATATTTTTCTCTGTTTCCGTGCAGGTTTAGACTTTTCTAAGCGGCCTACTAATATTTATGCATCGGAAATACGGCAAAGGAAATATTCTAATTTGATAAAATGATACTTGCGACCATACATCAAAACCTTCGTCTCGGACAGTCCTGGCCCTGTCAGTATCAGCGTAATATTTCCACTGTATTGGTCTGATTTCCTTTAACCAGCATGCTCCGGTCCACCTAAATCATCCACATCAACGGTCTCTTGCTTCAAAATGAAACTGTAGATTGTCAAATCAGTTCACAAATCAGTGTACGATAACACGCTAAGATTTCTCCTTAAAATGGCGCTCTGCTCTTTGTCCAAATAGTTTACCAAATATTTGATACGATGATATATTACACAAAGGTAAGATGGCAGATCATAGTGCGAATACAATGTCATGCAATATAAACATGAAAAGATATGATATGCATGGTTGACAATTAACAATGAGCCGCAACCAGTTAGTCGAAGCTGCGACATTTACTCACGATACGTAAACATATGCATAAATACAAACTGAAAATCGCTTAAAACGTTCTGTATTAGTTCGAAGAACGCAAGAATAGATGTATCATTCACAATGATGCAAATTATTCAATCATCGGAAAATATAGGTGTTATTTTGATTTCTTACCTGAAATCTGCCTCAGAAATTACCGTACTTCTTTTTTGATTTCGCAAGAAAATCACCACATGTGACATTTTAAATTCAAATTTGTTTTGCATTTTATTTTTCTGCGTTTCTCGATGTAGGCAACAGCCCGCGAGACCGCCATTTTTTCTTATGTTTAATGTGAATTTCTTTCTAATCTTGTTTTATATATATATATATATATATATATATTTTTTTTTTTTTTTTTTTTTTTGGGGGGGGGGGGGGGGGGTTCGTCGGTCCAACGGGCGTTGGTGTCTTTTGTGCATCGTGGACCTTTCGAACTTTCTACATCTTTATATTTTCTTATGTATTTCTTTGCTTTGTCGTTGTCAATCGGGAGATCGATTGGATCTGGTAGGAAGTCGCGGTCAAGACATCCTTTTATCGATGTCGGTCTTCTAAAGCTGTTGTTTCAGACTTGTACTGTGTTTTATTGCAGGCGCGGATCCAGGGGGGGCCGAGCGGGCCTTGCCCCCCCCCCCCCCCCCGCAAAAAAAAAAAAAAAAAAAAAAAAGAGAGAAGAAAGGAAAAGAAGGGAAAGGGAAAGAGGAGAGAAAGGGAAAGAAAGAAGAGGAAGAAGAAAAGAAAAGGGGGAAGAAGGAGATCGGGGGCCGAAATGGTCTTGCCTCCCAGGCTGTTGACCCCCCCCCCCCCCCCCCCCCCCCCAATTCAAAAAAATTAGAGAGAAGGAAGGAAAGGGAAAGAAAATGGAAAAGAGGAGATACTGGCGTACTGATAGGGGGGGGGGCTTGGGGGAAATCAAATTCAAACGTGGTTTATTTCTAATTCCTCAACGGTGGATTACAAATAATGCTGAAATGACATAATTTCCGAGATTTTTCCGAGATTTTAGTGTTTGTTGGAAAATGACAAATTCCTAAAATTACAGCCAGGCAAGATATATGATTCTTGAGATTCCTACATATCAGGGCCCGAGGTCCGGCGGAGATCGGGAGCCTCGAGCTCCCCCCCCCCCCCCCCCCACTTTTTTGAAAAAGTATATTAAAGAGAAATAAAATAGAATGAAAGCAAGAAAGAAAGAATAGTAAACTGCCAGTGTTAAAAAATAATGAAGCATCAAAATATGCTCATCTGACCGTGATTAAATGCCTAAAACCCCTAAGCTTCCGGGGCTCTGCCCCCTGGATTCCACCTAGGGCCCTACGGCGGGCCCTTAGATGCTCATCTGGCGGTAATTTAATGCCTAAAACCCCTGATTTTGGGGGCTCCTCCCCTGGACCCCACGCCAAATAGTGACCTGCCAGTGTCACAAAATAATAAGGTATAACAAAAAATGCTCATGTGACCTTAATTAAACGCCTAAAACCCCTGGGCTTCCTGGGCCGGTTCCGCCGCCCCGACCCCACCAGGGGCCCTAAGGCGGGCCCCTGAATGCTTATCTGAACGTAATTTATTGCCTTAAACCCCTGAGCTTGCGGGGTCGGACAAAATATCAAAATGTGTTTATCTGACCGCAGGCGCGTAGCCAGGGGGGGGGGGCGGTCCCCCCAAATCGGAAGAGGACGTAGGAAGAAAAAGGAGCAGACAAAGACATCTTTGAAATTCAGACAAGGATTAAGAGTATAGAGAACGGTACAACGCATCGTCTTCTTTCTCTAATAATTTAATGAAACGTCAAAGCTTCGCGCAGGAGGGGAGGGGGGGGGACTGAATTCAGACAAGGATTAAGAATCGAGAACGGTACAGCGAATCGTCTTCTTTCTCTCATAATCTTATGAAACGTCAAAGCTTCCGCGCATCGCGCGGGAGGGGGAACCTGAATTCAGAGGCGAGAACGGTAATACGAATCTGTAATGATTTAATGAAACGTAAAAGCTTCCGCGCTTCGCGCGGGATGGAGGGGGGAACCTGAAATCAGACGAGGATTAAGAGTCGAGAACTGTACAGCCAATCGTCTTCTTTCTCTCATAATCTTATGAAACTTAAAAGCTTCCGCGCTTCGCGCGGGAGGAGGTGGACCTGAATTCAGACGAGGATTATGAGTCGAGAACTGTACAACGAATCGTCCTATTTCTCTAATGATTTAACGAAACGTGCATACATACAAGGTGCATGCATGGTGCATGGACTGTTCCAACAGGGAAATGGTGTTCACTTGTTAAGAAACATGGATTGATTCCAGAGTCAAACTTGAAGTCTCATCAAATGTACCCCCAAGTTCCCAATCTTATATTTTAGGGGTCCACAAATGAGTTTAATACAATTCAGAACAAATGTCTTTGCTAAAAATGTTCGTTTGGTGTAAAAACCTATTATGAACAGTACAATTAAACATACCATATGGAACCGATGCTCCAAAAGGGCCCAAATGATCAGCTAATCAATACAGTTAAGAGGGCTACTAAAACTATTTTCTGAGGTAATGCATGGATGGGAACACATGTATACCTCTGTATTCCTGTACCAAAATATAATGACACATTTCGGTAAGAGGCTTCGATCACCGATCCAATACCCTAATGTAAGATGATTTATGAGCATCAAATAATTGTGAGTATTATATTTGTTCTAAAACATTTGTAATTGTGTTTCAGTAGAGTCAACCAAATATTACATCATTTTGGGGTACCTGAGCCGAAGGAAGGAGGAGGGTAGAGGGAAAAGAGGGGGAGTAACGGAAAGTGAGGGTGTCAAAGTGTTGTAAAGCAAGAAGGAGAGAGACAGAGAGAGAGAGAGAGAGAGAGGAAAAAAGAGAGACAGACAGACAGAGCAAACAAATCTGAAATGGGCTGTATACTTATACTTATACTTATATTCTTATGGTGACGAAATGGTGAAGAGTTCTTTTGACTGGGGGTGGGGGGCGCACAATTTACGATATGATGCCCGTACGTGTATATATGGCAAATGACGAGTGCCGGAGTGATGCAAAGTGGATTTTCTGTTATTAATTTGGGATTAGGGTGACGCGAAGTTTTTATTTCTTAATGGATGCCGTGATTAAAAAGAAAAGCTTGAAAAGCACTGATCTAGTAGACTTAATTCTGGTTTTCCTTCCACCCCTCCCCCGAATGATTGAGGCCACGCTGCGCCACTGACTAGCTCCATCGAACGGGTTACGGCACGCCAAATGTGACAGCCATTTGTGATTGTGTCACGAAACCTTGGATAGACTCCGATATGATCAGGCTCCTGGGCAATCTAAGTAATTTATTTCATCCACAAAATTACTCCTGTCGTAAGCAAGACAACTTTTGTGTTCAAAATCACCCCTGTGTGATAGCGTGAACAAAGTGCGTCGCAAAGATCCGTAGAGAAATCCACGACAGCAGTTGCACTCGCGTCATGTACTGAATACTTTTCCAGAAAAAATACATTTAGTCTGTTTATTCCTCACTTTTAGCGTGATTTAATAATAAACAAAATAATATAAATACCACTTGATTTCTTGGATCAGGAAAAGTGCTACGACCTGTCAAGACTATCTCTATTGCAAAACGTGATTTTGAATAATAATTACAACGAGAAGCTTATCATACCAACATCATCATCATACCAATAGCAAGAGAGGAGGCGAGTTAACTCCCTGCTTTATAGACGCAGGTTATATCACACTCCGTCCTTTGGATAGGATGTTAAGTGGACGCCCCGAGAATGGTTTAAGAGTAGGGGTCCATCTGCACACTTGGATACCGGGAAGGGAAACCCGAGGGTTACAGTGATTCAGTTTCCTTTTTGCATTTGCAGGCACAGGTGACGCCAAATACTTAATAATAACAATAATAATAATAACAATAATAATAACAATAATGATTTTTTTTTTTAATTATAATAATAGCAATAATAATAACGAAAATAATAATAATGATAATGAAAATTATTATGATATTATTATTATAATGATGATGGTAGCAATGATAATAGCATCGATTATGTCATGACAACAATGATAATCATTGTCAGTATAGTAGCAAAAAACAACAATTGGATATTTGATTTGATCTGATTCGATTTATTTTCTGCTGCATTCCAAATGATTATACACATTTTTCGGTAACATAACAAGTATAAAATAGTCAAAAGTGCTTTCTGACAATGAATCATGAATCAACAAATAAACATAACATTATTATCCACCTCAAAAGAAAGGATATATTGTCAAATTATCATAATTCATCAAGTTTTATACATTTATTTGCGGAAGAGGGGCTGCCATTTCAAGCAAATCTTTTGAGAATATAACAGCCAAAAACAGATCTTATGAAAAAGACGGACAAATTTATTTAAGCAGAATGGACAAGTATATTTAAGATATAAGGATAATGATGATGGTGTTGTTGTTGTTGTTGATAAAGATAATGATGATGATGATGACGATTATAATAAAAGAAATATATATGCAGTGATAACAAAATTTTATGACAACGAATGAAACATTGACACAGAAAGGTTACCTAGAATATAGGTTTATAACAATAATTGATTCCTCGAGCAGTACTATCTAATAATAAATACAATTACGTTGCTCAGAAAACAAACTTCATGTGGTCACATTTTGTTGAATTAGCAATGCACTAGAGATATGAACATTTTTTTTTCACTTCAAAAGTTTATACTTCACTTAGCTTTTAGCAGACATTACCAGTTAAGCTAGCTTATTTCAAAATCAATTCAGTTTCTGCTCAACAAAATGCACATGATAGAATAATTGTCAAAGATAGTTTTTGAATAAAACGACGGGAGACATGGAAATGGGGAAATGATACAAGTCTCCCTCGGCAAAATAAATATCCCTTTTCTTTTTCTTCAGCTGTCTTCAAAGTTTTGTTGAAGACGCATTTGTTTTCAAAAGCTTTTGAATATATTTTGATTGTGTGTCTGTAAAGTAGAACTGTTAGGAGTTCTGGTTCATCACTGCTCAGTATAGTATATTTAAGCAGTAGCGGCGACATATACATTGATCTTATCGTTATAAATAAATCAATCTGATGGATCAACGTCGAGTCTAAGCATCATTGGAGAAAGTGGCTCTGAACATGAATATCATACAGATCTCGATCACAAGGAACGTGCAAAGGAAGATTCGGTCGACGATGGTTGCAACAAGTTCCATGTCGTTCTCTTCAGAGACCTGATGAGGGAAATGATTGTTTATTTGTTTATTTATTTATTTTATTTCCAGGCAAGATGATAACATGCAAAATATCACAAGGTTGACAAAATTATATAACATTAACATAATGATATTTCGCACCAAACATAGCCTGAGGATCACCTAAAAGAATTTAAAAATTCTGTTTAGAGGCTCTCCACATTGTCTGGTGCTTGGAGAGATTATGGAAAAAGAGAAGAAAAATGATTTATCAATGATTTTTCTGTATATATGTACATTTTTATAAGAATAAAAAGCACAATCGCGATTATTTCCTAAAAATCAACTTAAAGGCAATTTAATATTATATTGTTTGTCCCTTAGAAATCAAGTTCGAATCGTATAACACTTCAATTTCATATTTGAACATTTCAGTAGGTGACGTGCAAGGCTACTGAATATGCATAAGGGTGATTTTTCGAAAGTAGTTGCGATCTTGTTGGTCTTATTAACCCAGTATAATTCTGCTCTTCCTGAGGGCCCTGTAGTCATTATTACCGGAGCATTGCCAAGCACCCATTCACTATACCTGGATCAAGAGGGGCAAACGTGGGTAAAACACCTTGTCTATAAAAAGATGTTAGCACCGAGCGAGCGAGGATCGGACCACTTTCTTGTCTTATGGGATCCAAGAGCCTTCACCAATAACCACGATGTTTCTTCTATAATTAGTGGGATTAATTGCATAACTTATGAAAGCATTAATCGTTCAAGAGTCATATTCCCGGAAAAATATAACAAATTTGTTTAACAACCCCAAAGGTTCTAGAAAATATCATAACTGATAATTACCCTTTTCTTTCTCTTTCTTTCTCACACTTGCGTGTTGCTTGTCAGAAAATTTTCAAATCCCGCTATATACCGATAGTTTTAAAAAAGGTGTATTTAAAGCAGACACTATACCGTATCTGTGCTGCCGGCCAGATAACCTAAACCTAGTTAGTCCTGTGTAGTTTTCGAAAGACAGCTGAGGAAGATTGCCGAAGAGAAAGATGAACGATCCGCTCTTGGCCGACTAAGAAGAAGAGATTTTCATCAGATCCACTACTCCCCCCCCCCCCCCCCAAAAAAAAAAAAAAAAAAAAAAAAAAACGTATTAACTCAGACAAACTTACGTTTTCTCTGCTTTGTATGACTTGGGGTGTGTTGTCGCGTGTTTCATCACAGAGGGAGAAGTTGTTGGATCTATTTAGATCTTGACCATCACTTTTTGCTGTAGAGACAAGGATAAAAGAAAAAATAATAATAAGAAACAACGTCACTCCGTTAGTGTAAGGGTTCAATTCATGCAGTGGAGAATACAGCATGTTGAGAAAACTTCAGTATGAACCACGGGTGTCCCAAGAAGATCTGTAAGGTTAGAAGCTACCAATTTCCCCCGAACAAGTCCTCTAGCCAGTTGTACGCCTCGGATCATTCTCAAGTAACCGCATGAGCCAATTCAAATAATAATAATAATAATAATAATGAGTTCTTGTATAGCACTCATGTCAGTCAGATTTGACCCTCCTGGCGCTCCCGATTATTACCCTGGCTTTAGCACGGCTGACATACGGCGCTCTAGCATTTCAAGGAATACATTTCTACCAGGTACCCATTTACTTCACCTGGGTGGAGTGTGGCGAATGTAGATCAATGTCTTGCTAAAGAACATTAGTGCGGCGGCGGGACTCGAACCGCGGACGTTGTGATCGACAGTCCGGTGACGTATCCACTCGACCACTGAAGAGTACGTTATGCCGTTTGCGAGTTGTTCAACATAGCTTACCTGACTGGACGTTTCTTTCAGTCATCTTCCTCAGACCTTCCTGTCTCTTGAACACCATGGTGGCCAAGATCCGAAAGAACAGCATCCTCAAGAATCTGTTCTTGATACGACGCCTTTGGTACGTGATGTTGAGGGACATGGCGGAACACATCATGATGACAGCCAGGGTGATGAAGGTCATAGTCAGGTATTTGATGGTGGGGGGAATGGCTCCACTTCGGGTTGTCTGTGGCATGACGTCAATGATAACAATCTAGAGATTCGAAACAGAAGAAACATGGGCGCTCTATTTTTACAAAAGTACAATCGGGTAGGTTCATCAATGTCATCAATGTCATTAAATTGCTTACTTGAGTGTAACAGGCCTGTTTGGTTTTTCACAAAGATTCTAAGTCGAACTTAACTCTAAGTTGGACTTAAAAATCATGGAGAGCCATTTGTAGCCTTAAAATAATATACATTCAAAAGCAAAAGCAAAAATTCAAGTATTTTAGAGTTTTCATAAATTCCACATCAGGAACATGAAATCTCACATGATTATAGAGGATATGATTGATTTGAATCAACATTTTATGCCTTTAAAAATAACTTTCACAAAATATTTTGAAAGATGCTAACGGCTTACCATAATTGTTAAGTCCAACTTAGAGATAAGTTCAACTTAGGATCTTTGTGAAACACCCACCAGGTTTGTAAAATTAGGCATCCTTTACAGTAATGGGAGCACTGTGATAAGATGTAAGTGGAGGCTCTGTTTTGGCTCCCATACATGGGCAGGGTTTCGATCCTAGCTCGTTGCTTAATACATTCTTGGACAAAGTGTTTTGCCAACGTTGAACGTTGTCTCTCTCGACCAAGGAGTACGAAATTGATACCTGGCAGAGATGTTACAATACTGATGTGTTGAGAACATAAAGGAAGAGTAGTCGATTGAACAGTAATGGCTTTAAAACGATATTTTGACATAGATCTGCATATCGTTAAATGTACAAGATATACACAAAACTAAATGTAAAAGGAAGTTAAATGGAAACTAGAAATTAGTAAAAGTGCTAGTCCAGACTCGGTCCATTCTTTGGCAAGATCTTCTCCCCCCCCCCCCCCCCCCCCCATTAAAAAAAAAATCTGCTTGTAAACTTATTTCTTTTGTAGTTTTATATACATAAACGAGAATACAGTATTCTGTAACTGAAATGATACATACGACTCTATGAAATTGAATTATTTCATGCTTTTCTTCCAGCGAAGATGCAGGTTTTGGTTCAAGAAATAGAGATGGGTGGATAGGGGAAGTTAACATTTTGCAATTATCATAGATGAAAATGAGACAAGTGCAGTTTTTAAAAGCCAGAATTTGTTGTGGAATGTCGGGAGGAGAGGGGGGAGGGGGCTTTCACCGAATACGGAAAGACATCAGTATGATCCAAAATCTGGTCGATTGCTATACAAGCGATTAATTACTCATGCAGTCATGATTCAATGATTACGCCATCTTCGGCTCAGATCAGTGGGAAAAAATGATAAGGCTCCCAGTAATTGATAGAATACAATACCGGATACTTGTTCAAACTTTTCAAATATATGTCGACCACCCTTCCTGTATACATTTCCTCACTCTTTCAGTAACAGAGACTATTCCCTTAGGTCTTCACCAGCTCATATCATCGTCATTCCCAAATCCCGTGAACAGGCTGGTTTCAAATCCTTATAGTCCTTAGCCCCACGTCTCTGGAACAAACTCCCCACGTTCTTAAGAAACAGTACTAGATTTCTTCAAACAACAACTTAGAACTTACATGTACAGCTCATCTTAAATTGTTGATAGTCCAAGAGAGCAACGCCGTGTAACCTTTGGAAAAGGCGCTATATATATCCAATTATTATTATTTATTATTAAATATATTTAAAAATTGACTCGGTTCCGGAAGTGACCCCTACCTGAAAGACGGTGACACCAAGAACCACCGAGATGCAAGTTGTTACGCGCTCACCACTCTTGAGAGGGATGAAGAAGGTCCAGATGCCAATGGCGTTGATAAGCGTGACGGGGAGGATGATGGTGTAAATGTAGTGATTAGGAAGTCGCTCCAGGTGCATTATCACCAACAGATCGGAGACCGCGTGGTCGCCGGCTCGATTCTCTCTCGAGCGCGACTCGGCGACCAAACTGGTGAGGTCCCAATACAGTGGTCGATCCTCGGCCCGGTGAATGAAGACCCCCGGAATGAGCACGACGTTGGTGATGATGTCTTGAGAGGCAATGATCATTTTACAGATCTGGGAGTCGAACGGGAAGAGAGTGAGGTCCATAGTGCATCTGGTGCTGTGCCGGAAGACCGTTTCCATTCTTATTTGCCCGTCATCTCTGACGTGGACTTTGGTGTCGTCTGGGTTTGGCGGGATACGAGAAGTCTCAACATTTCTGAAAGGACGTCATGCGGGGAAGAACATGGAAGAAAATGATAGAACACAAGCAACCTTAAAGTGATCAAATTTTCACGGTGACAATCCTTCTTGATTCATAATAAATATCAGCGCACGAGGGGTCATTTTGATTGCGTCATACCTACATGTAGAGGCGTCGTGGTTGAGTGGATATGTCGACGGACTGTCGATCTTAAGGTCCGTGGTTCGAGTCCCGCCGCGGCACTAATGTCCTTTGGCAAGACATTGATCTACATTTGCCACACTCAACCCAGGTGATGTAAATGGGTACCCGGCAGGAAATAATTTCTTGAAATGCTAGAGCGCCGTAGTGGCTGCCTTGCTAAAGCCAGGGTTATAATCGGGGCAGCGACAAGAGCGTCACAACGTTACGGACATGTGCGCTATATAAGAAGCCACCGTTATTATTATTATTACAATAGTCAAGCCGGTGAAGGCAATAAGTTCATACGCCATTTAATTCAACGATATGACAGTAACACCGATTTCATTTGCATTCATTTTTGTGTACGGAGTCAATCACAGCCGTTGACGCAATGTTACGTCAGCAGTTTGACGCTTTTTGTTTCCCTTCTTTTTTCCCCATCATTTATTTACTGAATAATACGTACATAAGAAACACAAAATTATTTCGATTACAAAGAGAAAAAAAACATGAATTATACTTATATTACAAAATTAATTATACTTTTTTGGTCAACATAGTCGATTTGACGCTTCTTGTGCAACAGGTCTTATGGGTTAAAGGTAAAGACCAGTTATGGTCATGCGATTGCATTGTGAAAGAAACGTTGTGGAATCGATCAGAAAATGTTGATCATCTAGCATCTAGCATCTGCAAGGTTCTGGAATCATCAAAATGATAAGAAATTTGGCCCATTCTTCGTAAAGTTACAAGCACTATACACAGAAAGATGTATACGGGACTACCCTATATCTCTCACAGACCATGAGAGAAAGAAATTTACCAAATATATGAATTAGTAGGCGGTTTCCCGGCAAATTTTGTATCATCATGTATTAGTCAAAACATATTCTTTCACATGATTGGTAATGAGAGCTTCCATTTCATTTTTTTAAATTGGGGCGTTTCCAATACTGGTCTTTACCTTTAAGTGATACTACTCACGTGTTGAAGAGGCTGAGGGATGGCGTCCAAACCTTTCTGTAAGGGATTGTGAGTACTGTCAGGTTGCTATGTTTACCGGGGTTCCATGTTAGACGCTCGTCTTCCCATACCTTCAATTTTAAAAAATAAAAATACAATAAGAAATAAAATAAAATGATTAGTAATATATCTAATGCAAGTCGACATTAGCTGAGGTAGGATTATATGCCGGTACCATCTATTTTTTGTTTGTTATTGTTTAAACAAAAATCTATTCATTGCATTATTTTGAATTTATTTATTTATTCATTTATTTTTTATTTATATATTCAATAATTTGTTGATTGATTTATATACATATAGCTATTCATCTATTCATTCTTTATTTATTCATTTATTTATTAATTTATTGATTTATTCATATATTTAATCATTCATTTATTGATTTATATACAAATAGTTATACATAATTATGCCCCTCCCTCTCTCTCGTCCATGTGGATGTCAACTGAACGGGAATCCTCCCCTTCAATCATATACCTTTTCCGAGCGAGTTTTTTTTTTTTTTTTTTTTTTTTTGGGGGGGGGGGGTTCTCCCAGAACCTGGATATCACTCTTTCAAAAGTACGCGCAAAAGTAAGGGCATTGATATACTTACCACTGTTAGTGTTGATGTCCCAGTGATGCTCTGCTCCTTTTCATTCTGCAGTTATAATAATAATAATATTGATAAGTCTATATATAAGACGAGGTCGTGATTCTTTTTAAATAACAGTTACTCGGTCACCAACAGCAAAATCTCGACCTCATGCTTTGCATTGGCGACAATCAATGGTCAAATAAGATATAAAAATTCTTTATTTTTCATATTTCACATTTCATTCTACACACTGTCAATTTTGTTTACAATTAATGTGAGAATATTTTTACTCAGATATTTTCAACATACATAGCTTTATAATCATATTTTAAGTTAGTGATTAAATGTGTCGCTTCTGACTAATTAAACAGTCATATTTCATTCTGAATTTCTCTGTTATGTCTGTGATATAAATTTTCAAAATACAAGTACAGTTAGTGTGAAAGCACTCAATACGCCTCATGAAAAGGCGACATTAAAGATAAACTTATATTCTGGTTTAAAAAATAAAAAATAAAAAAAATAAAAAAATTCTCACAGAACCAAACGAAACTTACACTGAATGTTAAAGATTACAAAGAAATGTCATTTGCCAAACAATTTTGGTAGAAAATGTATACTGGCTGAGTAGTGAGCATATAAAGATAAGGAAATCAAGGTAGGTAGCCCGACAGCATTTGTGTAGTCCCATATGCATCTTTTTGTGTACAGTGCTAATTGTTACTTTACCAAGATATATTATGATTTTGGTGACTCCAGAACCTTGCAGTACACACCAATACTTACATGCTACACGATCAACCTTTTCTGATCCATTCCACAACGTTTCTTTCACAATGCAATCGCATAACCAGAACTCAACTTTATCTTAAAACACGATAGCAAAGGATTTCGAGAAATCAACTCCATGGCAACGACCATGTTACGTAACCCATTATGTTCGGATTACGTAATGCGTCACTACAAAGTTCACACATTTCAAAAAGGTGACGCGCAAGCCTATTGAATGTTGATTTTCCGAAAGTCTGTGCGATCGTGTCAAAGTTCTGTAGAGGAGCATGCATTAAGAAAACTGCTGCAATAAGAGCTCTTTATTTCTTAATTCTACGTATATAAAAGTGAAAGTAAGAGTATGAAAATTACTTTACTCTAATATTTGAATATCAACACGTGGTTCCCGAAGATTATAGTAAGTTATCGGGTGGGGGCTTCAGGGTTTTAGGATTCGTACATTCATTCTCTAAATGCGGCTTGCTTTAAAGATAAAGTTGAGTTTTGGTCATGCAATTGCATTGTGAAAGAAACGTTGTGGAATCGATCAGAAAAGGTTGATCATCTAGCATATAAATATTGGTGTGTACTGCAAGGTTCTAGAATCATCAAAATGATAAGAAATGTGGCCCAATCTTGGTAAAATTACAAGCACTGTACACAGAAAGATGTATATGGGACTACGCAAACAAGTGGCATAAAAATCCGTCCCGATTTGTATGATGTTACATGCCATATTTAAAATATTAAGGCGTTTGAAGAGCCATGCTTTTCATGGAACATGTTTTATCTGATTTTCTTCCACACTTGCACAATACAATGATAACACTCACAAATTATTGTTTACCTCTTCCCAGAAGCCAACCTTCTCTTTAAGTCATTACAATCATTAAAAAAAAAATGAAGGGGTAATTGAAGAATACTCTTCTGTGAGAGACTTGCGCCCTCTAAGTCTCTTCCTCTCTATATACACTACTGTGCAGTTCTTCACTAACTTACCACTTCCCTAATAGACTGAAGAGTAAGATGCAAGGTGACCGGAAGTGGAGTGTCATCTCCAACCAATGGGATCTCTGTGATGTCATAACCACCATCAAACAGGAATGAACTAAGTCTACTCCATGAAGATTGGTTGGTTGCTGTAAATACAAAATCGTAGAGATTTTGAAAGGATATGAGGCCCCCTCTCAGAAAACTTGAGCTTCACAAAAAATGGCCCATACATGTACGAGTCTATAGTACAACTTTTGAAACTATCTACATAAGGGAGTGGTGAATCAGACGTTATTTGCCCTGTCTCACAATGTCACAGGTGTATTTATTCCATTTATTACGATGTTTTCGTCATGAATCTAATCTTCATTTCTACCTTCTTGTTTTAATGGGGAAAAGGATCGTGAACAGAAACTTAGCTCCGAATTGTATGCTCAGAAAAGGTTCCATCCGAGTATTATTCTTTACTATACACGTAAGAGAAGCGAGCCTATAAATATAGTATTACTGTTGATTCATGATAACTATTTATTTATTTATTCATGATTTCTTTCAACAGGGTAGTTACATCAACCTAAGTCAATTGAAAATAAATACAGAATATCAAACCTTACCATTTTCGCCGGAACTCAGATGAAATTGTACGTAAAGCACAATGAAGGCCAGGAACCATTGCAGAATATATCCGGCCATCTTACACCAATAACGCCACTAAACAATGATTTCTCCTTCCAAAATATCTGATATAATTTCTTACGTCGGGCACGGGAACTTACGCAAAATGCAATGTTGACAACGAATCAAATTACATGTAGAAGCATTCACTGATGCCGCGAAGCATTTTCACTTTTTGTTCTTAATTGGAGATCAGTACAGCGAATCCCGTATATAAGGATACAAGTTACATGCCACCAAGGTGTTTACTAACCAGTAGACTTATTTCAATTCACATTGGCTTATCAAGCAGAAGAGTGAAGCCCCCTCCAGTCTGGAGGACCGTATGGCAGAAAAAATGATACAACTGAAAGAGGGCCGACATTACATCGGGCTAGCTTGGTGTATTACCCCCCCCCCCCCCCCGCCCCTTCCAAACTGATGATAATTCCGCCCCAACTCCTCAATTTTACGGTTTCTGGGTAAGCCCCTGCATCTGCAGTAGTCATACCACGATGGAATGTCGTAGTAGGTCCATGTTTTAATTAAGGGCACCTCCTTTAACAGCAACCTCCACAAAGATGGTGGTGGGGGTATCCCCTTCTCAAATCTTATCCGATATCTGTTCCTCCTACCGCCAAAAATCATACACGATGCAATAAAATGAAATCAAAAGACAGTATTAAAAAGAGATTTATTTCCGGTGCCCCCACCCTCACTCAATGCCACCATCCCCTTTAAATAAAAAGCAGGGCTACGCCATTGATTCCATAAATATAGGTCAGCTGTAGGTTTTGAAGGGCTTATAATTATGAGTTAGGCCAGCTGTTGGGTTTGAAGGGCTTATATGAGTTTTATAATATCATGGAGCTTGTTAAAGGGAATGTACCTGAATGGAAAGAGAAGTAATTAAACAGATGTATACTGCTGAGCAATTTTCATTTATACAACAATTGCTAAAGGTAAAATCCTATGTGTACAGAAGTTAATTTAACAAATGCAGTCGGTCAATTGTAATTGTCTTTACACTTCACGAACATGTGCATTCCTTGAGTAATTAACCCTCATCATTGATTTCATGTTTTAAATATTGACTTAGCTAAATAGATTTCCTTTGTATTTCATTGACAAAGTTAATTTTAACTTAAGTAAGATTAGTCAATAATGAATAAACCAACAGACGATGTCACTGTGATAAATCGTTTGCTTTATTCATTGGCAAAATTTAATAAAGGCGAAACACTGTCCGTATATCGATGTTTTCAAACAATCTTTTTTCATCGTTTAAAATAGAACGTCTAAATATTTGTCTTGTTATCAAATGATGTTTTATTCAAAATATGTGTAGGATTACAAAACCACAATAATCATAATAATATGCATACAGTGAATATTATTAAAACGGAATACTCAGTAATGTTCTAACATAATTTAGATGGAACTAACCAAATTCTCCTGTTAATTATTCATGAGCTCCTTTTTAGAAAATCTGTTTAACTCATTCATATGGAACTCATAGAAATATAAAGAAAATGATATAAAATAATGATTATTTCACGTCCCCGCTACTTCCAATAGTTGGCGTCGCCTGTGTCATCTACCATTTCGTATTCGCTCTCGACTGAGTTGCTGCCTGATTTGGCGCCGACGAAATATATCGAAACATCGGGGCTAGAACCATTTTATCGACAAGTCTGATATGAGTCACCGCCGATCGTATACGCTTATCTAGCTGGTGTCGATGTTGTCCACACGTCTATGAAGCGTAGGGTGCCAGGAGAAATATATATAAATACTAAAGGTAACCCCACCTACCTACCAAACGGGCGTTGTGGCGTGCGCCTGTAATCCAACTACCAATGGAAAATATAAACTGATTCGGTCAAGGGCGCAGGTTCGAAACTGAGTCACCTCTTTCGCAAAGGTCCCCAGACGTCAAAATTATATCTGGTTGCTACACGTCTGTAAAAACCCAATTACACACACACACCTATCTCGAGAAAGGAATGCATTTTAGTTACAATATCATAATTGTGTCAATATTCCGATGTAGCTACTCAATGTAATTGAAGTTAATACGTGTTTAAAAGAGTTCGGAAGAGCACCGTTATCCGATTGACGACGCAACATCCGGTTTATGCATTTAGCATCTTGGCGTGACTTCGATTATCATTATTACAATGCAAATATCTACCAACAAATGCAATGCTAATTACGTTAACATCTACAAGTTAGAGTGATTTTGTTCACCTATTTATTTTCATTTAATTTTAATTAAACTCTAGGCATCAGTCAACATGGGAGCACTCGAGGTTAAATTGAATTTATATTGAAACTTACAGTGAGCAATGATTAATTAGAATCTATTTGTTTAACACTTTTATCCAGGGTAGCCCGTTCAGTTGTAAAATGTAGAGACATAACAAATCATGAAAAAAGATTATGACTATGATGGATAAAACAATTTGGAATTGTAATTCGGTTCTTTAAATTGTTAGATTTGACATAAAAAGTTCCATACATTCTTTTTTTAATTTACTTTCTGACTTTCTTTGCCACATGATAGGGGACACAAAGAAGAAAACTATAAAAAGGAGAAAGCAAGAAATTTAAGCATCAGCCTATCCAAAAAAAATAGCTTTATATATAGACACTTCAAAACATTTTACTGATTTTTTTTTAAAAGAAATGAATGATATATGAAGATATGAAATCTACCATTGGGCGAAAGTGAACCAGTTTCTTTAAAACAGAATTTATTTAGGCCCTACAAGATTATACGGGGGTGAGAAAATATCATAAAGTACGATTTCCGTTCATAATTTTAGCTTTTTTTACGAGAAATGAGGATAGAAAGGACAAACGTTTTCAACAGAGTTAAAACAAATTACCAATCTCGTACTAAGTAATTTACAATCCCAAGACAGAGTACACCTAACTTAACAATGTATTTTAACACGTTTTAATTATTTATATATAGAAACAGACACTTCTATTACATATGCTTGAGAATTATATACCTTTGGAGCCAGATTTAGTACATTACTATCATCATGATCCCGATACCATTGCATATATATATAGAGAGAGAGAGAGAGAGAGAGAGAGAGAGAGAGAGAGCTAGCTGACAGAGCCGTCCTTTAGAACTTGAGGGTCCCATGGGACATTAGTATGTTCAGAACTCAACCATTTTGCATAAAACGATGCACTTAGTCAAACAGCGCTTAGCTAAAGTGCCGATAGTAAAATCGCATTCCTAAATAACATATACAATTTCCACACAACTGCGCCAGGAGCGTCATTTTTGACAGACATGGCGCATTATAAATGTTCACTATTCTTATTATTTATTATATATAGGACATATCGCAAAATTAAATTCTGATAAGACATGGAATAATCATTGTGAAAGACATGAGGCATAATTATGGATATGTGGAACAGACATACACGATAATAAAGCCAAAATATTTCGTCCTGCAAAGTATTTAAAGGACAATCCAACTTTTATAATGAAATCATTATGATAAAAGCAGAAAATAAAACAAACGGAATGGTAAAAGTTTGAGATAAAACATTTTGATATTAAGGAGCTTAGAGTGTTTGAAATACGGCATCACTAATTATTTGTGGATTTTAAACCTGACAATTTGGTAGGCGGATTGTGACGTATGCATGGACAACTCTCCCTTTTGATGTGAACAAAAATCTTTAATTTTTGTTTTTCTTCTAAGCGCTAATTCCCCCTGGAGTACTGCTTATCTGGATATCATTCGTACAGGTCCTCTAAAAAGAAAAGACCCTCTTGATTCCTACGTTTTTGAAAAATCGAAATTTTAGTAATTCATGTGTGTTGGAACAAAATATGGGGGAATGTCCAGGACTATGTCACAGTGATCATGGTCATATTACTTACATGTCCTCTAAGCCAATTTGAAACACTCATAGGCATGATAGGTACATTTAAACCAAAAATTAAAGTCTAATTTCATTCAAACCTCCACCGGTTTGCTTTTTTGATTGTGCTGCTTTTTTCTAGAGTAGTTCGCCATTAAATGAATCCGGTAACTTTGTCTCAGATTCTTAAACAAAATTCTGGATTAAGCTCATGCTGCAATGATAATTATAAACCTTTAGGTCAGTCAGGAACCCCATGACTTTTGCAAGCTGATCGCCTGTCTGATTATCAAGATATTCATGATTTGAAATCTAAACCAAATTTTGCGTTTGTCTAACGGTTTTCATAACAGTCTATTATCTATCGTCTATTGGGGAAAACGAGTATGGTAAAACCGGTCACTCAAAGATTTTTACTTTTTTGAGGCACTCCTTGATCATATTGAAGCGCAATTTTGTTAGGGCTTTAATATTACACCATATCTATCTATCTGAGTATCTTCTCCCGGTTCGGAGGTTGATTGCAACATCTCTCCATTTCACTCTAACTTCTGCCATTCTGGTGCACTCTTGCAGTTTTTTTAGTCTACTCCAGTCCACACCATATCACAGACACTGATAACACGTAGGGTCGTGAATCTCAAATTTAACATTTAAGGTCGAGTTTTCCTTTAAATTAGAATTAAACAAGGGGAGGTAAATACCAAAAGAAGAGGTAACTCACAAATACTTTTTACTTAAAGTGTAAGCATTACATATAAACTTACTTAATTACTTTCAGTAGTCCATTAATCTATCGATGTTTTAGTTATATAAATCTAATTCAAAATTCAAATCATACAATAGATCACACAAGTATTTCTACTGAAAATGATAGCAAAATTATGTTCAGTCGTGCTGAGTGATGGTGGAGAAGATGGATTCTACGAGAGTCATCATCCAAAGCTCCACCCCTAGAAACATGAACAAGAAGGTGTTCAGTCGTGCTTAGTGATGGTGGAGAAGATGGATTCTATGAGAGACAGCATCCAAAGCTCCACCACTAGAAACATGAACAAGAAGATTCGGTCGATGATGACTGCTACCAATTCCATGTCTGTCTCTTCAGAAACCTGATAAGAAATCATAAACAGATGATAGTTGGACACATAAAGCAGGAGGAAAACAAAATACGGAACGGTATTGTGTTCGGCTTTCCTACAGGTCATGTCGACAATTTCAGCTTTTTGATTAAAATATGAACGATACTACATTTCTGATATTAAACAAGTCTGAACAAAAATGTTCATCAAGCACAAAAATGTCTTCATAATTTCCATTGTGCTGCATTTCTCAAATAATGATGCATAGATTAAAATATTTATCGACATTTTTTATTTTGTTAATGACCAAGATTTTGTGACTCAGAATTCTGACAAATTGGTTTGTTACCCTTATCCTGGGTCCCTCTCTCTCTCTCTCTCTCTCTCCCTCGCTCTCTCTCTCTTCTCTCTTCTCTCTCACTCTCTCTCTCTCTCTATCTTCTCTCTCTCTTTTTCTCTCTCTCTTTTTCTCTCTCTTTCTTCTCTCTCTCTTCTCTCTCTCCCTCTCTCTCTCTCTCTCTCTCTCTCTCTCTCTTCTCTCTCTTCTCTCTCTCCCTCTCTCTCTCTCTCTCTTCTCTCTTCTCTCTCTTCTCTCTCTCCCTCTCTCTCTCTCTCTTCTCTCTTCTCTCTCTTCTCTCTCTTCTCTCTCCCTCTCTCTCTCTTCTCTCTCTTCTCTCTCTTCTCTCTCTCTCTCTCTCTCTCTCTCTCTTTTTCTCTCTCTTTTTTCTCTCTCTCCTCTCTTCTCTCTCTTCTCCCTCTCCTCTCTCTCTCTCTCTTCTCTCTCTTAGACAAATTTTGACGATTATTTTCATCACTCACTGGTTCTTCAGAACTGCGTGCTTCCGGTGGAGTTTTGCCATGATTTCCTTCTGGGAAAGGGCAGACGCTTGCTCCATCTTGACCCATGTCTCCACTCCACGCTGTAGAGAGAAACAGAGAGAGGAGTACTCAAGTAAAATTATGGATCATTCAGAAAAGCAACATCTATTAGTTTCATTACTATTGATTTTTACCATGTTTACTTTTACTTTTACTGATACTAATATTCATCTGGTTACAGACAGTTCCCTAGCCTATAGACCTATGAAGTACTGGGCTTTGAATCATTTTTTCTATATTACAATTACTATAACTATTACGATTATTATTACTATTACAATTACAATTACGTTTGCTATTACTTTTATTATTACTATAACTCTTTATACATTTACTATTACAATCACTATTGCTACATGTACTATAACTGTTATTACTACTTTTAGTATTTTTGTTACTGTTACTATTAATATCAATATTATTATCACCATTACTGTTACCTTTATTCACCTGGTTACAGGCAAGTTCCTGTAGACCTATAACGTACGGGACTTTCAGACAATATTTTTTTCCTTCTTCCCTTCTATCAACTGCACCTATTTCATGACAATTGTGGTCTTCATTTAGTGATGTAAGATACATTAGGCAATCGTCATCAAAAGTTGAAGTCCATTTCCTTTTAAAGGGATTTGGTAACATTGTTCAGATGAGAGAAAATGGTGCTAAGGTAGTGAATTCAATGCTAGATGTAAAATTAAAGATAATCTGAAAGTTTGAGTGAAAACAGACCATTAATAATGATACAAATTGGTTTCAAAAAACTGATCTGATCGATACCTTAATTCTCCAAACTATATCATTACAATTTAATAACATGTTAGGTGATTGTAAATTGTAACAAAGCTGTGTATTGGCTCTATATACCATTCCAGACCTTTAAGTGTTGAAAGATTTTTTAAATCCTGTCTTATATCTTATTTTCAAGGAAAATTGGTTGGGAAAATTCAAAAAATGGTTGGGAGAATTTACTGTAAGAGGGTGCTGACCAGTGACGCCTTCAAAGAATACCATAAATATCTTTGTGATTTGAGAATTTTTTCAGGATTTTATTGCATGCTAGAGGGTTATTACAGTAGAAGGAATATAATAAGTAACATTTCATACCCAAAAAAAGGCCGTTTTTTCATCCACCTTCAACAATGTTACCGCGTCACTTTAAGGATACGGGATACATTTCATAGATCAAAACAACCTTGATAAAGTTCACCTGATGTGGTTATCTTTACGGCCATCTTTCTTCGTCCCTCTTCTCCCTTAAACACCATAGTGGCCAAGATCCTAAAGAAGAGTATCCGCAAGGCCTTTCTCTTGATACTACCATTGCGGTAGCTGATGTTCAAGGCCGCGACTGAAGACAGCATGATTCCGACCAAAGCAATGAAGGAGGTCGACAGGTATTTCAAGGCGTGGGGATTACTGTCACTCCGGCTTGTTTGTGGTATGACGTCACCGATGACGATCTGGGGACATGATTACAATGAGACGTATAAGTGTTCAGTTTATTATTAGGTGATTATATTTACAAACATAAGGTGCATCATGTCCGTCTTGTGGTGAGAATACTAGGACACCGTTTCGTTCTGCTACGGATCTACTTATCCAACTGAACTTACATCGCAATAGCCATTAGAAAATTATAAGAACTGATTGACAACATTTACTAGGAAATTTCATTTTCAGGATATTGATCTCTCTGGGTACCCGTTGCCAGGTTACGTGTCCGAGTACAAGACATGAAATATTGGGAAAATACACCCTTATTTATGAAAGATAAAATTAGTGTTGACAGTTCTAGAAGGAGTTAAGCGAACCTTGGGACAGTTTGTTGTGGAAGGTTCACGAGATAAGAGGCTCACGAGACCCAAGATTTGCCATTTGTTGATCACGATGACTTTAGGAAACAAGACAAAAGACGAAAGAGACTGGGCCGAAAGTTCACGAGAAAGAAATGCCACAGAAATCTTTCAATATTTTGTTGGGGTGGTCATAACATTTGGTGGTCATAACATTTAATTGAGGCTGCCTTCTACTAAGTTAAACCTTAACATTCAAAAGGAAAGCTTTCATCCATTCTTGTGGACTTTCGCAAGCCAAATAATTCTTTACACAGTTTCTTGCCGTCTGCAGCCTCGAGATCACTGGAGCTATTAAGGTGATAGTGAACAACTAAAGTTCTTACTCAGTGAAGAATCACTTTAGCTTGAGAAAATCTAAAGGATAAAAGCTTGCCTACTAAATGCCAAGGTTGGCAGTAGCCTAAAGTACATGTCAAGACCGGATTCGTTGACGTAATGGACCTTTGATCTTTTGCACATTCTGCTGACTTTCTTCACCCACCTGAAAGATAGTGACACCAAGAACCACCGAGATACAGGTAGAAACGCGTTCGCCGCTCTTGACTGGGATAAAGAATGACGCGATGCCGACGGCGTTGAGAAGCATGACGGGGACGATGATGAAAAAGACGTAGTGATGCGGAAGCCGTTCGAGCTTTATAGCAACTACCAAATCCGAAAACGCATATTCACTTGCTTGGTCAAATCTCAACAGCGATACATGGATCATACTAATGACGTCCCACGAGAGAGGACGGTTACCGGCACGGTGTTTTAGGACCCCCGGAACGAGCACGACACTGGTGTTAAAGAGATCCAGTGAAGTAATCAACAGGAGGCAGGTCTGGGTGTCGAAGGGGAAGAGGGCGAGGTTCATAGCACAAGCGGTGCTGTGCAAGAGGTTGGTTTCCAGAGTGACCTGACCATCGTTCTTGATGAACACTTTGATATCTTCTGGGTTCTTTAGAATGCGAGAGTCCTCGGAATTTCTGGAAGGTGTTCAGAAAGAAAGATAGGGAAAGAGAGAAGGGGGACATCATGATCATTTGTCATTACGCCCGATAATTTGCCCGTAATCCGAGTACGAAGTTAAAATACATTCCTAAGGTCATGGTTGAAAAGAGCGAGTGACGTCAAAGAGTGAACTCCATCTCGGCTGCGGCTTTCATACAGTGATGATATCCATTTCACATCCTTCTAAATTTCCAGAAGTAACATGGTTTTATCGCACAGCAGAACATCTTTTGGAATAAAAAGTGGACCTACAAGATAAATGCAAGGACGGGCATTCATCGAACTAATCGTTTCTTCAAGAATAAGCAATCCCACCGATATATCTCTTGTATTCTTCCTCTTTTTAATACATTTGGCTTCTAACGTCGACATCAACTGAGCTATTTTAATTACAAAATGTACAATAGGCCCTACTCACGAGTTGCCGAGGCGAATGGACGGCGTCCAGACTAGTCTGCAGGGGAGTGTGAGAACTGTTATGTTGCCATAGTGACCAGACATCCATGTTAGACGTTCATCTCTCCATACCTTTAAATGTAGGCATTAAAAACGACATTTTTTGTCAATTGTTAAAGCCTCGTTCAATACATGACGCGGTAAACCAACGCATGCATGAAACGGCGGGTTTTACGTCATTTAAAAAAAAACGCTGCATTTTATACTGCTTTATATCTGACCGATAGTCCATTTTGTGCTCCGACATTTTGTTCTTGCGACCTTTCCTCCGGGTTTTAATTATCAAAAGGTCAGGGTTGCGGTTACGGTTGCAATAAGGTTTTAGGTTCGGTTAAGGGTTAGGTTTAGCCTTAGGTATAGTGTTGGGTCCAGGGTTGAATTCGGTTAGTGTAGGAAACTGGAGCAAGAGGGTATCGTACAGGCGGTTCATATTTGTCTTTCTGCGTTTTATTTATTCTGTTATGCCCCCCCCCCCACTATTTTTACTTGTTTCTTCTATAGTTTTCCAATCGTATAATGTTATTACGAGCAAGTGCCCGATTTACTTACCACTGTGATTGTGGATGTTCCAACCATACCTTGTTTCTTTTCGTTCTGTGATAAATTAAAAAAGTAAATAGAATGAAGAAAAAATCGCGATAGAAAAGGTTGAATAGGAATTACAGTTCAAGTTCAAGTTTAAGTTCACTTTATACAATACTTTCATTAAAAATATACAAAGGAAAACAAACATATAAAAGTTGAAATATAATACATGTATCAATATATAACATGAGAATAACACAAGTGGAGAAGACATGAGGAACAAGGGGAAAACATTCTAAACATGTACATTAATGAAAGTATTTGGAGACTAGACAGGAAGGCCGGGCCTTATGTAAAAGTCTGTCTCTAGTAATTGTATAAAAAAAAAGTACATTATTAAAAAAAATTATTGTTATAAAAGGAAGAAAAAAGGAAATAATTTGCATTCACACATTTAGACAGTTTAGACATTGATCAATAGATAAAAAAAAAATACACGAATAAATGAATGAATAAGTAAATAAATAAGTATAGCTTAAAGTGTAAGAAACTATAGAGGTGTCTTCTGAAATAAAATTTGGAAGGGTGATGTCACTTGACCCAAGAGATCTTCCCATAAAATGTTATAAACACACTGGTTTACAATAGAATCGCAAAATAGTATACCATGTCTTTTGTCTTGCTATTAGGCCTACATGATCACTGCGATTTTCGAAGAAGAAACAAAATCAATATTGTTTTACTATGTTTACAATCTATTACGATTATTTTGGAAATTTAATCCTGACAAGCAACTTTGCTTTTTTTTGCCCCTCTGCATACTCGATCGTTTACCATTTTATGTCCCCCTTTGTCATTAACTAGTTTTTCTTGTTATGTATGTATTCGTATTCCTTTGTATAAATAGTGTGCATTATTCTGTATTTGCATGTTTGTTTGTTTTTACTGGAATGTAAAAAATATGTATGAAATGAAATGAAATATCTTCTTGTCCATTATATAGAAAACATTCTCGAATTACGTAATACCTCCAAGTCGTGTTCACACATTTCAATAGGTGACACACAGGGCTACTAAAATTGCTGAAAATTTCGGTAATTTTCCACTTCTTACCACATCCTTTACGGACTGTAGGGTCAGATGCACAGTGACTGGAAGCGGGTTTATACCTCCCACCGATGGTATTTCTGTGACGTCATAATCTTGACCAATCAAATCTGAACGCAGCTTCGTCCATGGTGATGGGTTGGGTGCTATAGTCAGAAAGCAGAAATGTGAAGAAAACAATTTCAAGTCATTATGAAATCAAAGAAGTATGAACGCAGCTTAGTCCACTGCGATTGCTTGTGTGCTAGTTAGAAAGCAGAAATGAGAAATAAATATCTTCACGTCATCAAGATCAAATAAGTCTGAACGCATCTTACTCCATGCTGGTTGGTTGCGCGCTAGTCAGAAAGTAGAAATGGGAAAAAAATATGTTCAGGTCATCAAAATCAAACAAGTCTGAACGCAGCTTACTGCATGGTGATTGATTATGTGCTATAATCAGAAATTAGAAATGGGAAAGAAATATGATAAAGTTCACTGGTTTCATCTTGAAGATACTGCTAGAAACGCTTCAAATAGCTATCGGCATGCAGACGAGACCATCATGCAAACGCTGCCAATACATCGTATAAGTTAATCAAACGTTTTCTGTTTATCGTTAATGTATAAATTAATGTAGCCGTAACAACGGCGTTCTTTGCAGCTGGAGTCCTCTGCACGTAGCTCGATCCGACTGCAAAACAATTTTTGAAAGATAATTCAATAATTATTGCCTTATATAAATGTAAAATATTTTTGAGTTTGCTAAATAATGATAAATAAATAAATAAAACAGAGGAAGTATACAGCTTTTTCGGTCTCGTGAACATAAAATATTAATGTTATTTTCTTTCTCTCACTCTCTCTCTCTCTCTCTCTCTCTCTCTTTTCTTTTTCTTTCACATTCTTTCTTTCGTCCTTTCAAGATAATTCTCTTTCTTACACTGTTAAGGACGTCCATCCTTTACTTTTCTCAAACCTCAATGAGTGAAACCATTGCCCGTCGACTAAATAAAAATACAAGTGGGGCTAGAAATATCAAATTAATCTCAATTAAATAACAATTAAATCATCAAGATATCAATCAAAACGAAATCATTTCAAACCCTTCCTCACCTTTTCCGCATGTACTCTGACACACCAGTACACTGACCACGCCCAAGACCACAAACCAATGAACTCGAGATACAGCCATCGTCGATCACCAATTCATCAATGCGTTCTTCTCACAAACCGTCAGACGCTTACACCAACAATGATCTATCACCGCGACTCGCTGACCGTCCGACGTGGCGTATTTTTCACCAAAATTAATGTCTGACGGAAAACAACCTCGCAAACTCATTAGATTAATTGATAGAATTAAGTGGTGCAATTACGTCTTTCTCTTAACCCTTTGGCTATTGAATTATCTCAATCCCATCGGCTTAATACAGGAATCACCCGGTTCATGTAGGCAATGTGTTAACGAGAGACGTCGCGTACATTTAGAAAAGGACAAGGACATGGATGGTATTTTGTTTGCTCTACTAATTACATATTCTCTCTAAGAGCAGGAAATTTCCTTTTTGCTGTTTACAATAGCAGCTTGCACTTTAGGTAATTAGATTCCGTTGATGCGTGAGATTACTAATTGAAATTTCTGCATCACTTAGAAAGTAATAATGGGAGAAGGTGAAAATGAATTAAATTTAAGTAAATGGTATGCTCTTGAGCCCGGGCCTTCCTGTTCATGATATTAATAATCAGTGGCGTTAGCTTCAGGGGGCATAGGTGTACTTGCCCCTTCCCAATCAGTCGGCAAAAAAAGGGGTAAGGAAAAGAGGAAGAGAGAGAGAGACAGGCAGAAATAGAGAGAGAGGTAGAGAGAGACGTACGTAGAGAAAGAGAGAGAGAGAGAGAGAGTGGGGGAGAGAGAGAGAGATAGAGAAAATGGGGAATCACTAATGAAATAAGTGTGTCTTTATGACTTAATGAATACAACGCAATTGCTACGTCACAATCACAATGATACTAGGAATTTGAGCGCGCATTGCTACAATCATATTGTTACGTCATGTGTAAGCAACGCGGTGCGCCTTCCAACACAACACATTCCAAAATAAGTAGTAAACAAAACAAACACTTTTATAACTTGTTCATAAAACAAATAGGAAAAAGACGAAGGAAAGACAAAACAGTTTAACTTTAAAACATTAATTTTCATTTTTGTTTGTAGCTAGCTAGAATGGAAGGCCAGGAAGACCAAGAGGCAACAGATGTCGAGGCCCGAGATTCAAATCAACGAGGGATTCGCTCATTTTTCTCTAAGATCAAACAACGGGCTGTAAACTCGCTCATCTGTTCCTCGGCCAACGTAGTCCCAGTCAACGACCAAAGCATACCGGGCGACGCTCCAGCACAGCAAACCGAAAACAACGATGCCTCCGCTTCGGCATCCGTAGGAAATTCTCGTACGTTCGGCGTCGTTGATCTGAAAATCGAGGCCCTCGATGTCGTCAAAGTCGAGGACGAAGATGAGAACGGCGTTGAGACGTACGAGATCGTCGAAGACTACGATCCGGAGCTCATCGAGCCAGACGTTGATGATATTTGGGAGGATAATATGTGGAAGAAGCTACATTTAATGAAGAACGAAAGAAAGCCCATCGACTTTCGTCTCTATCTCGTTGATATGGTCCGTTATTCAGCGAAAATCGACGACCTGAAGAGCATGGGCATTTATATCATGCAACTTCAACGGGTAAGGCCATGGTAGGGTTTGAATTTTTTATGTTCCTTAAAATGCTATGCAGTAATTTTTACCAGCTTTAAACAAAAAATTAAAAAATTATGAAAGATTGTTTTTTATATCAATTATCACGACGTTTTCCCTTCCTATCTCACTCGCGCTCATTTTTCTATCAACGTGTTTGACGGCTTCGTCTTCTTGCTACCACTAACACTATATACGTTCTGCTCATCTCTCTCTCTCTCTCTCTCTCTCTCTCTCTCCTTCCCTCCGTCTATCTCACCCTCTTTAGCTGCCTCCTTCTCTGTGTTTGTCTTCATCTATATCTCTTACAACCACGATCATCTCTCCCGTTATGTGACTGCTTCCCTGGATCTTAATGATTATGAGAACAACGAGAAGATAGATCATCCATGTATCTTACCTTTCATTTTCCTTCCTCTCTTTTTCAATGTTTATTTCTACTTCTCTCGTTCTCTGTCACCCTCTAACTCCCTCTCTCCCTCTCTCTCTCTCTCTCTCTCTCTCTCTCTCTCTCATTCTCTCTTCCTCTCTCTCTCTCTCTCTCTCTCTCTCTCGCTCTACCTCAATCATGATTCTTCCGATCAGGAATACCAAATTTACGACAACCCCGAGAAGATCGACAAAGACCCTTCGAGGTCGAAGGGGAGGACGAAGTTCCGTGTAGACGGTCTCGTCGAGGACTTGATCCTCCGTCTCGTGTCGCTCAGGGTCGGGTCCGACGTCAGCTGGAAGAGGACGGTGAATCTCATATGTGATCGTATGAAGAAGAACATGGCGCCAAAGCCGAAAGTCGACATCGACGAGCTGCCGAAGATTTTCTTCCGAGGTCGCGCGACAACGGCACAGGACGTTAGTGGTGCGTGTCATTTTTCCTTTTCATATAATTATTATCACAGAATGTAATACAACATGAAAAAGAAAAATAATGGCCTGCGATTAGCACTGATATCTGCTTCTTTTTTTTCAATCTACACAAAATTACAACCGTTTTAATCATATCAAAAGTCATGAAGAACAACTATTGGCCCGATATTGCTTGAGTGAAGTCCATCATTATAGGCCAATATTAGGAAAAGGGACAGTGAAGTTGCATTTTTTTCTTCTTCTTTTTTTCAATGATATTTAATTTTCTCCATTGCTTTTCACAAACAATAAGAAAATCAATACATAAAATAATCTGCATGTTAATATTATTATATAGAATATGATTTTATATTCACATCTAAATAATACAAATGAACTTTTACTATTAACATCAAATAAAGCATGAAACATGCATGCATGAAGAAGGCATGAACATAAAAAGACATTACTGCGGCTGATCTAGGATTCACTGACGGAAGGGGGGGGGGGGCGCGCGCAACCCCGAGGAGAAAAAAACATAATAATCACATTTTCAGGTGACTCTCTGGTTCTAAAATTGCTGCCCCGGTGGCACCTCAGGGAATAAATTGTTTTGCAAGACAATATAAGATAAACCAGATATGAGTTGTTTGGGGGCATGAGCCCCAATGCCCCTTCTCCTCTCTTACTTCACCACTTAAAAATTAATGATAGTTAGATCAATTTTGTTACCGCAGCTAATGAGGCATACCCTATTGCAATATGATGAAAACAAAATAAAAATAAAACTCTCAACTGTGCTACTTTAAAGACAAACAGCCAAAACTTTTTTAAACGCTTCAGAAAACAAGTGCAACTTCAACAAAACCTTGAAAGCGCTGCAGATGTGGCTTTTCTTAATGTCTAATGGTTGATTATTTTGAAACTTTGAAGCGGCACAACTTAGGGCACAATCTCCAAGACTTTTGTGTTTGAGTGCGGTGGTTTTAGAAATTGCTTGTCTTGCGATGTGTGAACACGGATGCGATTTAAAAGATAATAATTCAGACAAATAATTTGGGCTCGACTACTAATCATGATTATCTTTTCATCTTCCCTTGTATAGATTCATGGTTTCTATATTCCACCATCGACCTCACCGGGTACGATCTCCAGGGTGACTCCGACGCAGAGGAACTTCGACGACGCTTAGGGATTTTTCTGTCCATACGGCCACTCATCCTCGTCAAACTCAATCTCAGTTACACAGGACTAGACAAGAAGAGCTTCCTCCCGCTACTCCCCTACATCGCCGAGCTCCGGTCCCTCCAGGTAAGGACAACGACGACGACGATGATTTAGATAACAATAATGATGATGTTTATATTAATGAAGATGATGATGGTGGTGGTGGTGATGGCGATAACAACGAATAAGATGATGATGATGATGATGATTATAACAATAATGGTGATGTTGATAATAATGGTGATGATGTTCTTGATTGATGATGACAATTAGGGATATATCTGTTCATGCAGCCCAACTCAATCCCACTAGACAAGAAGTATTTTCCCACGTTCCTCCCATACATCGCCAACCTCCTGTTCCTCCAGGTAACGATGATGACGACGACGACGATGATGATTATATTCTTGAAATCAGACCGTTTCCCTATTTAACTTCTAGGAGCTTGATCTGCGAGGTAACCGACTGGATACATCTATCCTCAAATATTTCTATCCATACCTGGGAAAATTCGGCGACAAATTCCGCTCCGGTTTCTCCAGTCTTCGATGGGTCTACTTCAACCACAACGTGGACATCAACTGCCTGCCTATCCGGTTCATCATGGGCGTCGAACGCCGTTGGCCCCCGATCGAGCACCGTCCGTCTCCGCAGGAGCTGACGGAGAACCGCGCATCCGCCTGCGACTTCTCCAAGATCGAGAGGGTTCAAGCGAGACTGATCGAGAAGAGGACGCAACTCCAGAAGAGCGCTCGGTTGGTGAACGTCAGCAAGGAGAAGGATTTGAGAGACCGAAAGAAGGCTGCGTTCTTGAGGAGGGTTGCTGGGGCTGCGAACCAGCTGCTTGCTGCAGATGCGTCGTTGATCAGGGATATGTCACCCACGTCCGAACTCGGTCCTCTATCCGGTACATTACTTGATCCAGAAATTGACGGTTCTGACGCTGGGCGGGTCGAGTCGAGTCGATTAGCTCGGGGACAGCGGGTGTCTCGGCCGGCGCGGGCATCTGCTGCTGCTGTTCTTGCTATAGCAGGAAACAATCGAAACGCAAACGGCAACCACGCAAGAGGTTAGTATTGACTGATACGATCGATGACGGTTGCACGAGAAGCGTCAATTCCATTGCGCCAATTAAAACGTAAGACGGCGCCAGTGACCGTGCGGTCTTTTTTTTTATGCGTCACGTGGGAGTTATATCATTTACAAAGTGAATGCAAAACAAAAGTTGGAACTAACGATAACTGGCACATGGGCTCGGCTCATTGCCTTCAGATATTCAATTGACGCATAAACACAGTCGAAGTGACACCTCGTGTGCAACAAGTATTAGACACGGCAGCAGAAGTTCAAATTACATAGGCTTAGCGGCACCCTCATGGTTTGGGATTTGGAAAATATGTTATGACGGAAATAATATATACGAGGTGACACCGACCTCTGCGTCATTTATGCCTACCCCTCAAAATATACTTTATGCCTACCGTCTAAAATATACTTTATGCCTACCGTATAGAATATACTTTATGCCTTCCGTTTAAAATATACTTTATGCCTCAGGTGAAAATTCGTATTTGAAAAAGACCTTTAATTTGTTTGATACACAGTGACTGTTATTCCAAGATTCATCAAGCCTTCTTGAGTCCAGAAACTGTGTATGTGCTCGAACGTGCGTTGATGTACCTTTATACCCCCCAAGTTGGTAGACGAAATTAAAGTGACACGTTTGGTATGCAGTTTAAAATGAAAGCGATTCATCTGCAATAATTCTGTCTTGAAAGCGAAATATCACAACTCTTTCTATATGCTTTCTGCTTTTGTTTTGTTTTTATTTTTATAAAAGCCAATAAATATAGCCTAGCGGTATATACAAGTTAAAGCTTTTTGCCATTCCAATAGTATATTTTTTTTCTTTCTTTCTTTCTTTCTTCTTCTTCTCCCTCTTTTCCCTCTTCTCCAAAGGAGGAGTTATCTCAGGCTCAAGCTTTACAGACTTTGATATTTCAGAATTTAATGTATTTAATATTCTCCGAAAAAAAAAGTACAGGACAAGACGCAGGTGATATACACGTCTATGCCGTTGCTACTGGAAATGTTCATATCGTTTACAGTTGCAAATTAATATTACAAGTCCAATCTTTATATATTGATAAATACTATATTAACTGCATTAATGCCATAATTTATATAAATATATAAATGTCACTTCCTAAAAGACAATTGTGAAGGATACCTCAACCTTCAACTGAGAAAAATAAGAACCCGTTTCTTGTTTAGTTTTAGGACAAATCGAAGGACACGTCCATGGCGAGGAAGTACTCACTGCCGGGCAGAACAGACAAAATCATGACCTCGATGACGACGATTTGCAGGAGAATTCGACAGAGGAGCCGAGTGTTCCAGAAGACGATGGCCACACTTATCTTGTTCGAATTGTCTACAGGCAACGGGGGTCTACTGGGATCTATACATAATATAAGACACAGTTCTTAGAGTATTTATCTATTTCAAATTGATCTAACATTTATTGTCTTGTTTTTAAAATGAGAACGCATTCCATAACCCAAAATACAGATACAAGATTTTGGGAAACATTACCCAAAGCATTAATCATGCATAACATTACTCTAACATTACTTTTTTTCTTCTTCAAATGAAGTATTCCATAACCCAAAATACAGATACATGTACAAGATTTTTGAAGACGTTACCCAAAACATTAATCATGAAAAAGGCGAGTTATATTCAGGCAGAGCCTTTTCTTTCTTTTTTTCAACCTACACAAAATTACAACCGTTTTAATCTTATCACATTGTTTATTATTAGAAACTCGTTGCGATTACATAAGTAATTAAAACAAATGATATTGTGATTGAGACATATTATAGAGAAATTGACATTTTCGTTTGTAGCACATACTACAAAGACAAGAAATCTAGTTTTTAGAATGTGTTCGGGATGCGACGGTACTAACTTTCGAGACTAAATGCAATGTTTTACTTTAATGAATTTTCAAGGAAGTTCAGAATTATGTCCGTTTAATTTGTATTTTAGAAATGAATTTAGCCAACAACTTGGAACTTCAGGTCAACTGCAGTGTGGCAAATATAAAATATCAATTAAAGTTAATCATGAAATATACATGTAAATGGCTGTTCTCTTGTTATATGTAAATACAAATTAATGATGTGAAAAATAGTTTCGGTATGGGAAATGAACAATACAAGTCATTTGTTTCCTGAAACAGGCCCCAGGTCTCGCACCTCACATAATATTATCCCCCCCCCCCCTTTCGAGTAAGAAAATTGGGGAAAAATAGGGCAAAATAGGGAAGATTAGAGAAAATAACGGGGAAATCGGTAAAATCAGGATAAAAGAAGGAAGAAGAAGAAAACAAATCTGGTTTAAAAAAAAAAAATTAAAAAAAAATCCAAATCGGGAAGAAGACAAAAATCGAGAAAAAATTGGAAAAAATCAACAACAACAACAAAAAATCGGAAAACCGATTTAAATCGGGTTTATATCAGGCCTGTTTCTCTCTCTCTCTCTCTTTCTCTGTACGGTATCTCACTGTTATATACATAGAGTCGATTCATTAATCAGGCTTTTAAAAGAGGATAATTAAAGTGATAAATATTTTGGTGTACTAATTCGTGTGCATAATTGTGTCTACTACACCAGTGCATAGGGGTAAAATAGGAGGTTGGACGGTGAACATCATACTCTTTTTTACCCTTTCACTATCGCACTTTAGACTGTACAAGTCCATACATCTGGCATCTCCACATATGTCATTTCCATGCAGCACACCAACATCCATTCCTGGGCCCTGTCTTATAAAGAGTTGCGATTGATCCCACTCAATCACAAGTCCTTCAATCAATCGCAAGTTTGCTGTCTCCTATCTCTTATGTACATGTTTGCGATTGATATCAACCGCAAATACGTTGTGATAAATATCAACTCTTTACAAGACAGGCCCTGGTGTATATGTATGCTGTATATATACATGTATATGAAAAATTAGGAAGCAACAAAATACAGCTTTTGAGAAGAAAAAAATTATTTGCAATAGAAATATATGAATTTATTGATTTTTCCCTAGTGAAAAAACAACTTTTACCCCACATTTGTATTATTTAAAATATAAGGTTTTAGTTTTTTCTCTTCCATCATGCTTCTATAGCAGCAATCATTTTAATAATTTTTCAAAATATTAATTCATATATATCCTCCTAAGTACTCTACAATTGTAACATAATTCATAATACATGTAATTACAAACTCCTAATTATACATATCAATATATCCATGCAATCTATTCACACATAAAAATTATGTTACATGATTTACTTCAAAAGTATGGAAAAATTAATCATTTTTGCAATTTTATCCAACAAGTTTCATAATTCTTTGTGGAATTCAAGACCATCCCTCCTCAAGAATTCTTAAGACAGAAAAAAAAACCTCTGTATCTTTCTTAACCAATCTGATGAACAGGAATCTGTGTTACTTTAGATTTGGAAACCTTGATCTTTATAGGCTTATAAAGTACCCATCAGCGATATGAAATATAAAATGGTGGCAAGAAATTATATCCAAAGTCATGTAAACCTCACCTAATCTTGAAAAAAAGTATATTTAGATAGAAACAATATACCTCAATAATATTATAAAGACTGCAGAGTCATGTAAAAATGTAAATACTACTACAGCAATTGAAGGAACATTACTTAATATGTATACAGAATTACAGAAGGACTATTGCAGTTACACTTGTAAGCGCTCATTGTATTTGCATATGTTTTATCTTTGCATGGTTGTCCCTTGCATAATGCTTGAAACTCAGCTCAAAATACCATAACAAAAAGTGGCAAAATATTTGAAACATATACATATCACTAGTTTTAACTAAAGTGACCAACAGTGAAGCAACGTAACCGAGTTAAGTTTACACATATTACGTTACATAATAAACATGCAACCATTTTGTACCGAATACAAAGGTATTACATCTATACATGTACTGGTATGTAAATTAAAAACATTCATAAGTTTGACTACAAGAGAAAAAAGGCAAGGTAAGCTCTATTATATAGAAGAAAAAATATATACTATAAAACAAAATATAAAGCAAGCAAGGTGTTTTGTAACTTACAAAGATCTAAAAGCATTCATTGTTTATCTTAAACCATTCATTGTAAATTTCAACAAAGGAAACAAAGCACAATAATCATAATAACCTTTTAGTTTACCCATACAATTGTAACTTCAAACAAAGGGAAAGAATAATCAGGGAAACCCAAAAGTAAAAATCATATATTGAGATGCAGTCACTGTAATCTCCATTTACCAAATGCTGAGCACATATTCTAAGCAAAGATACCAACACTTGTATGATACAGGGATTTATATACACAATAAGGCATATTTAGTATTTTGGGGTGTTAAACCCGACATGCGCATGTACAATAGCACTTAAAAATAGCAATTCAGTCCAAATTAAGCATTACATTCCAGCATACAATATACTAGATCTAATCAATACACGAGGAATTGGTAAAAGGCAGTTATGAAATATTTTCCCTGATAATTTTGTTTTCACTATTATATATGTAAAGGTCAATTATCAATAGTATAGATCAACATAATTCATGTCATATTCTTAAATGTACATGTGCATATAAATTGCATACAGTGAATCTAACTAATACATGCACATTATTAGTCATTATTATCAATCACGATTAAAATAGACAATTTAGAAAATCCATGATCTTACTCTCTACAAATATTATCTTACATGAAGAATGGAAGCTCTCTTGAATTTTACGTGATGAAAGTTCTCTTAAATACTCACTTCAGCTCTATCACTGTAAGAAAATTATCAACATACCTATTTTCTAGAATGTTTTGCATCGAGACAGTTGAGAGAGAAAGACAAAATGTATGAAGGTGAATAAATTGGCTTGTACAAATTATACGAGCTCGGGACTAAAGACGAAATGTCAAATAATTTCAGAAAGTTACTTTTCTCAACCTCTACTGTACTACACATATTTCAATATTACCTATTCAGCGTGAATACATGAGCTCATTTAAACAGCCTCTCACTAAAGCACTCTTTAAAATAATGCCTGGTGAATTGCGTTAACTCACTTCATACATCCTCCTTGCAGTCTCCCTGCATCATTCATTCACCCTTTCTGAACCCTATCTACACCCTTTGTGGATCCTTACTACACCCTTATTGCACCCCTCCTGTACCCCTTTTGCCCCCTTCATGCACCGGTTTCTCCTATATCTTATCTGCACTCTTTAATATAATGCCTGATAATTTGTGTAAACTCCCCTCGTACATTGTCCCTGCACTCTCCCTGCCCCCTTCTTTCATCCTTTCTGAACCCTATCTACACCCTTTGTGGATCCTTACTACCGTACACCCTTATTGCACCCCTACTGTACCCCTTAGGCCCTGCGTAAACTCCCTTTGAACACCCTCCCTGCACTCTTGTTTCACCCTTTCTGAACCTTATCTAAAGCCTTCTTTCACCCTTTCTGAACCATTTCTACACCCTTTGTGGATCCTTACTTCACCCTTCTTGCACCCCTCCTGTACCCCTTTTGCCCCCCTCATGCACCTGTTCCCCTATTTCTTATCTGAAGTTGGAGCTTGGTGGTAGTCGTACTGGTCCTGGGCCTCTCTGATCTTTCCAATGAAAAGCCATGTCAGCAAACAGCCGATAAGCTGTAGATAATAAGAAAAATGGGATACAATAAATTAATCATAAATACTGCGATGTTTCGAAAATGAAATAAAACATCTATTGCTATGATTTGGGGGGTTATCTAATAAAATCAATTGTTTTACTGATATGATGATTCAACTTCTTGTTAAAATTATTACAATTACCGATATACCTTTAATAATACCACCCACACAATAGCTCCTCAACAAAATTATCTCAGGGTTCCAGCAGGAATTTGAGAACTAAATTTCATGACTTTCAATAACCAATTTTTACAAGTTCCAATTTCATATGGGTTGTGGCACCCATGCAGCATATGACTAAAATACCACACAGTGATATATGTTATTTCATGTATGTGATGGCCACTGCCTGCCCTCACAATTTCTACGCCTTTCCAGGTGTTTATATGAACGTGGGAACCCTGATATCTAAAAGTAGAGTTGGTTTAATATCCGAGCTCTTTTTATTTTCAAATGGGGATGCAGCAGTTTTCCAGGTGAATTAGTATAACAAAACCGAAGAGGCATCCTTTCAATTGAACATGAAGAAGGAAATGGCTACACCAAAATAATGAGAAGCAACAAAAAGTTGAAAAGAAATAAAGAAATAAAAAATATAAAGTGAATAAAGCACATTTTCAAATAGATATTCAAGGGTATTAAATTTAGTGAATCTCATATTTTCCAGTATACCTTAGAAATTAAGATTGTAATATAAAAAGTGAATATTTTGTAGATACGTATGGATTAACTGAAGAAAAAAAAGATCTGGAAAAGCCAGAATAAGATGATTTGTCAAAAAATAAAATAAAACTTAAATCATATACCAAAGAAACAAATACAGCATGCATGCAACATGGCTTAATATGTGCTTTTCATTGTTTTGGCTTGTTTCATCTAATAAACTGCACATGTGGTACTTTGTATGAAAGGCTATTACATTTGTTAGAGCATTATAAAAGTTATCATGTTAATACTTGGGTATGAATAAATAAAAGATTTTAAAGTCTCCTACATATATGTAATAATTTATCAGTAAATTAGTAATGAGTGATCACAAAATACATGTACTACTCTACTATCAACTTCATAGACCATCCTAAATAATAATAATGTGTATAAAAAGCCCATTTACTACTTCTACATTTTACCATTTATGTTCATGCTGTTCACTCGAACATGGAATACAATTTGATTCAATTAAAATTCAAGTGATATTAGTGAACTCCCTCTCTTGTGCATCTGGCAATTCCAGTTTTAAGCACAACATGGAGTTTCAGTAGAAAGAATTGTCACAACATTAAAGGCGGTAGGAACATTTTAGTATCCATTTCCTATACTTGACAATAGATGTTAACTTAATGGCTGGAACTAAATTCACATTAGTGCATATGAATATCATTAAGCCATGCCACTCACACAAAATTATTATGATATATGCCTGTAAAACAGATATATGGAACATGTTTTCATGATTTTTACCCTTTCATAAGAGAACAAATATGATCTTTTAAAAAGAAGCCATACTTTATGTTAACAATGAATGCTATGCAAAGTAAGGACTATCAGTAATTCAAATCTCATACAGTTGTAGTTCTCTGTCACTTTGATTGAATGAAATATATGTAAAAGATGTAAAAGATGTAAAGGAGGTCATTGCCTATTCACAGACCCTAACCGATGAAAATACAACTTTATATCAATGGAAAGCTGATTGAACCTAGAAAACAAATATAAAGGGATCAAATATTCTCCTTTTCAATCCTGCACAAAAGCAAAATAAACCTTCATTTTCTACATTTCTCCAAATTACTGGTCAACTGGGGTCAAATTGGCTGCAATAATGGTGACGACATAACATGTGGACCCGATCGGCTTGCCTGTATAGCTGAGGCGATGAGCAATGCAAACTCAATGTGAATATGTGTACTCCAAATAGACGATGTCATCAAGTTGCCATTATTTAGGTCGACAACTTCCGATTTTCAAGGCTTTAGATTTCTAGTTTTAAGAGAGTTGTAACTATCATGTAATTTATACTATTGTAATTTAGGGTTTATTGGTTTCTAAGCTTTGTCTTGAAATATAACTCATCAGTTTAATTTTTCATTTCTGACAGAATCTTTAATTTCATGAAATATCCCATAATGTACAATGGCGGGAGAGTTAGGCATTGTTCACCAATGTCTAGACGAAGATAATTTCTCAAAATTCACACAAATTTATCTACAGATTTCATACAAAAACATGAGGAAAATAAGATGCACCACACCTTTAAAAAAGAAAAATATAACCATGGCAAATAACCAGAAACTTCTTCAAAATCAAGAAAATAACACACTTTTTCAACAACAACAAAATCATGAAAATGAAGCAAATTACAGCAAACCCATGAGAACAAGTCCAAGCTATCGTGTACCACACATTACCGACTGCATCTAAGATTCCATTATATCTCATGGCTGCATAAAGTTGAAAGTCTTCCTAGAGTTTGGATCACACCAAATATTAAGTAAAATGATACTGTACTTGGTATCAATAAATGTTAAAAATCTCCATAATGCTTGGTAATGTGTGTGACAAGGAATAACCCAATACCTTGGACTTGTCTGTTAATAAATAGCTGAAGGAAGCATGTATTAATGGTACTGTGTATTGGTTAAATTTGTTATGTTTTATGTATTTCTGAATAATACACAGCAATTAAAGCTAATCTTGAGCTCTGGTATGGGCATCGTATGTCGAGAGAACATGGCTATAGTACATTCTGAATTGTTTATCCTGCATTAGATTGATTGTTTAAACCGGTAAAAAAAACATCCTCACCAAAACTTGCTGGAAATCATCTTCAATAAAAACACAACTCTCATTTGCACATAGGGACATGTGTTTTAAGCAAATGGTGTCGGGGCTACTTAACTTGATTTCTTTATCTTTCTATGCTCATTACTCAGCCCCTATACATTTTCTCCCAAAATCATTTGGCACATATTATCTATTTGTAATTTTGAACATTCAGTTTAAATTTTGTTGGATTCTGTGAGAATTTATTTTTCCATCATTACCAGAACTCAAGCTTATCTTTAAATTTGTTACGAGTTACGTATATTTGATAATAAACAGCAGATAAAGCCAAGAAATGTGGTCTCTATCATACATTTGATTCATTGGAATTGACCATTCTGTATCTTGCCGATAAAGAGAAATGTCAGAAATGATCCAAGCAGCTGAAGAAAAATGAAGGAATAAACAAAAATCATGTTTGTTACAAGAACAGGGGAGTGTTTCACAAAGAATAAGAGTGACTTAAGTTGGACTTGAACTATGCCAGGCTATTCATGCCACTGGTTGCTCTCACCATTGGTCTCTCAAGGGACGTAACAAATCTACAGAATTTACATTTTTGATATTTCATTGTTGAAGAAATAAAGTTACTTACATTGTAAACTTAAGTTATATTTAAGACTTGGACTTATACTATGGTATGCTTTTTATGCCCTTAAAAAGTCTTGAACCAGATGTAAAATTAGAGGGAAAATTTAAAATAATTACCTTTAGATACTATTGTTTCCTTCTGATAATGAACTATCAAAAACCGTAAGTTCTGTCGATTTGTGACCACGATTTATACGTCCCTTAATAAACCAATGCCAGAAATTGTTAGAGGAACTAGTGGCATTAACGGCCTGCCTTATTTCAAGTCCAACTTAAGTTGATCTTAGTCTTTGTGAAACACTCCCAGGACATAAGCCAGGTAGAAAGATAATGGACGCTGAGGGAAATTTGCCAAGAACACCTGAAAAAAAACCTTTTTTCTGGAAATTGGCTCTTAATGCTTTATTGCAAATGATGGCAAAAGTAGGTTCTCAAACATTTAATATGAAATAATTGTTGGTTTTCCTAAGTGGAGTATAGATGTAGTTCTGAAAGAGAGTTTCAAACTATGGCATTTTCTAAATAAAAGAATGGATCTCGACACATTAATTTCAAATTTCAATGTGCTCTCTAGTTAACAAATCATTTCACCCGTTTAAAGTGACAAATGACTATCATCCCCCAAAAATGAATGTTTAGATTGTTTTTGTTTAAATAGAGTGTAAAAAAGAAAGAGACATTGCAAAGGCATAAGAGTTAGGGATTTAAGAGCATTACAGGGAAATAATTGGATGTCATCAGACATGGAACACCTGTAAGATAACTCAGAGTCAACTTCCTTAAGGTGCAAATGTGGTACATTGACAAGGCTATTTACAGAGCAATTTAAATTTGTAATATCTCTTTATAGAAACTATAACTGATGTCAATCTTTTGGACATCTACACACTGGAGTATAATCGGCAAAGACCCCAAGCAAACAACAGAGAGAAGCATTTCTTTGGTGACTAGTCCCTTATAAACTCATACTCGCATCCTCAGCATCCCAGGTAGAATATATATTGGATTATACCAGATTAGCTCAGGCGTCATGGTATAGTGGTTCATGCCTTTGACTCTCCATCGGAAGATTGAGGGTTCAAATCCCTGCCCAGCACCAATGTTCTTTAGCAAGACACTAGTCCACATTTGCTACTCACCACCCAGGTGTAAATGTGTAGCTGAAAACCTAGAGCATTTTGGGCCCCTCACCTATTGACCAGGGTACCATCAGAGTATTATAATTGGTGTACCTGGGCCCTGTTTCACAAAACCTGGTATCAATAACAAATGCTAACTTTCGATGACAAACTAGCTCTCAGCCAATCAAATGCCACGATTTCAGTAGCTTATAACAGTTATTGCAACTTGTTATTGATAACAAAGTTTTATGAAATGGGGCCCTGGAGCTTTACAGCATGAAGGACATGAGCACTGTACAAAAAGCCACCATTATCATCGCTGTTATCCGTCAGCTTACCTGAGGAAGACATACTCCCAGTGTCAGTCCGATGAATATGTCAAGATGATCTTGAAACCAGACTAGCAAAGCGTCGGTGCAGCCCCTAATGTAAATGGTGTCATCAACTGCAAATGGATGGGGATCTCCCTCGCGAACGTTGACCCCACACTGAGTGTTCATGACCATGTCTTCCTGCAGGGCGAAAGTAAAGAAAGGAATACACTGAAGGGTGTACCTACATGTACAACTCGCAAATAAAAGAGGTTATCAAATTTAACAAAGCAAACTTGACCTTTATGACGCCGATAACATAAACACAAATTTGAGATAAAATGGGGCTTAGTCATCACGTAATTCAAATTATGTAGCACTATCAGTCAAAACAATATCAAATAAAACTCACTATGTCCGGCCATAAAAAGTGGTTTAAAAACAGTTTCAAAGCCCCCTCCCCCCCCCCCCCTTCTTTCTCTTTATTCCTCTCTCTCTCTCTCTCTTTTAAACAATCAAGTCTCTAATTCTTTTATTCTCCCCTATTTCTCCCTCTTTCTTTCTCTCCTCTACCTCTCCTTTTCCCTCTTTCACTCTCTCTCTCTCTCTCTCTCTCTTCTCTCCCTCTCTTCTCTTTTCTCTCTCTCTCTCTCTCTCTCTCTCTCTCTCTTTCTCTTCTCTCTCCTCTCTCCTCTCTTTCCTCTCTCTCTCTCCCTTCTCTCTCCCCCTCTCTATCTCTCTCACTCTACCTTTGTTGAGACACAGCATGAGAAGGGAACCCCACAGCTTCCTGGATCTTGGCAAGCAAAGTAAATATTTTTGTCCCAATCATTGAAGTCGAATCCTCCACAGCACTCCAGCTAGAAGAAGGAGAAGAACAAAATTGTTTTTAATGGCACCAAGCTTTTAGGCGAGTTAAATCAGTGTCTTATGATCATTAGCATTAAAAATGTCTTGTATAGATTCAATGTTCAAAATGACAAAAAATCATTAATCCACTGAATACTACACGTAGGCCAAGAACACTGGATTATAACTGCTTAAACTCCATTTTTAAGTGGCAATAAATCTTCTCTAAGACTACACGTAGGCCAAGAACACTGGATTATAACTGGTTAAACTCCATTTTTAAGTGGCAATAAATCTTCTCTAAGACTACACGTAGGCAAAGAACACTGGATTAAAACTGGTTAAACTCCATTTTTAAGTGGCAATAAATCTTCTCTAAGACTACACGTAGGCCAAGAACACTGGATTATAACTGGTTAAACTCCATTTTTAAGTGGCAATAAATCTTCTCTAAGTGTTTCTGGTATGTTTAGATACAAAGCTATTTAATAGCATTAATATTTGTGATTGAATGCAATAGTGAGAGAGAGAAGGGGTGAGGATGTGTATACGGGGCATGTAGTTTTGCATTTGCCTACAGTAGGTGAACTGACGAATTACATACTCAAAACACGAGATAGAGACATCTTTAACTTCTTTCATGCCATGGACAGCAAATCTCGCCAAACAACGTAATGCCAATGTTAAACATTTTGTGTGAATATGCTACATATTTATTCCTGAAACAAAAACCTGTTCCTTCACTGTAAAGTGCAATGTATTTTATACCCAATTTACTAAATAATTACAGATTCCACTCTTGACAATTCATAGAGAACATGACCATTGCTCAAAACTCGGTAGAACGGGGCCATGTTTCATAAAGCACGTTATCAATAACAAGTTATAATAACTGTTATATCAAGCTGCTCGAATCCTGGCATTTGTTTGGCTTAGAGCAAATTTGTCGTAGAAATTAAGCACTTGTTATTGATAACAAGTTTTAAGAAACAGGGCCTGGAACAGGTGTGTACTACACAGTTCAACATTATGAGATTTTTTTCTTCTTCAAATCAAGCATCTACAGTCAAACCTGTCTACATGTATAGCGACCACCCAAGGGAAACACAAAAAGTGGCCTTTGTAGACAGGTGGTCTTTGTAGACAGGTTCCTTTAGTACATGATTCAATGAGAATCCATTTTCAAGGGAAACAACAAATGTGGCCTTCGTAGACAGGTGGTCTTTGTAGACAGGTGGTCACTAAAGCAGGTTTGACTGTATTAGCATATCTTCTGCGTACCTTCTGTTGAACAGCGTCTACGGCAAAGTGGATATCAGGATCATCATAGTAGTTCTCCAGAGCACTGCTGAAACCTGAACTAACCAGCTCCTTTGCCTGCAGGATTTAAACATCAAAAATCAAAGCTGAGTTTGAGTTCTGATAATGGAAATGCATTTCAAGATAAAGTGGTTTAGATAATTCTGAATGAATTCCTTGAAATGCTAGAGCGCCATTGATGGCAGCCATGCTCTGAGAAAGCCAGGGTACTAATTGTGAAGCGCCAGGAGTGTCAAGTCTGACAGAAATGAGCGCTTTACAAGAACCCACTGTTATTATCATGCAGGTTATGATTTGTTTTGACCAATAAATTACGGAATAATAATGAAAACCTATTGGAAATCAAATTATCTAAAAACTACAACTCACTTGTATAGGAGACCACATGTAACAAACATGGGTCTCAATTAGTGGCCAGGGGGACATTTCTCAAAAACATTATTAACATGCATTTCTATGGGCTATCCGACTGTTCATGAACTTAAGACTTATGATGGTTTTGAGAAACTGGCTCTTGGTTTCCCTATCGTTCTTTTGTAAGTACTGATACGTTGTTTTAAAAAAAATATTAATTTGTGGTCTTGAACAGTCATTGAAAATGAATCTGTAGGAATTGGTAAGAACTCATCATTACATGATCTGCGAAACAATGGTCATATATCAGGTCTAGACTATTCATATAACGAAAGATTTCTATCAGCCTGTTGTATAAAAAACATATATATACACACTGTACATGTCACTCATCTTAGCTATTCTCAGTAAAGAAAAGGAATATTTTGTTTTTATTATTCAACTTTGGATTAAAAAATTACCTGATTTACTGCCCTATTGGTAAATGATAACAAAACAAACTACACAGTAACTTTCCTCATGTAAAAACACATGCACATATACCCCCCCCCCATAAACAAACAAAACAAAACAACAACAACAACAACAAAAATAAAAAATCAATAAATAATATATTTTCACTCTCCTACAAGCACTATGATATTCAAAAGAATCTATAAACAGGTCCCTAAAGTGAGTTAAAAACTCTCGACTACTGAATAGTCTCACTTCCCTAGACTTTCATACAGGAACCAGACAGATTCCATCTTAAACAGGCTTACGCCATCCTGATTCTCAGCAGACCATATCCTGGGGAGTGTTTCACAAAGACTAAGATCGATTTTAAGTTGGACTTAACTATGGCAGGCCGTTCATGCCACTGTTTGCTCTCACCGTTTACTGGCATTGCATGGTCTCTCAAGGGACGTACAAATCATTATCACAAATCTACAGAATTAATATTTTTTTATATTTCATTATTGAAGGAAAAAATGTTATCTAAATATCATAATTGAAAGAACAATGGTGATAGCAACCAGTGGCATGAATGGCCTGCCATAGTTAAGTCCAACTTAAAGTCGATCTTAGTCTTTGTGAAACACTCCCCAGATTCTCAGCTGGCCATATCCTGATGTGCACGTAGATTGGCAATCATCTCTGCTCAGAATACTTGAACTGACATGCAACAGGATGTGTTCAAATGCCAGGCCTCCCCTGCATCAAGTCAGGGAGGATGAGGACCTCTTAAAGGCAACTTTGGCCTATACTGTACATGTACATACATGCATCTGATGTAAACATGTGTAAGACTCAAGAGCCAAAAATTCATATAAATTCTAGATTATGTTGAAAATTACAATTCATTTGTTCTTTTTATATAAATTGTATTTACTTTTTAGCAGGGGGGCGGGTTATAACCTGTAAATTACAGATTATGTTGAAAATTACACTTCATTTTTTCTTTTTATTTACATTTTATTTACTTTTTGGGAGGGGGCAAAAGAGGCAGGGTTCTTGTGCAGCAGGGCAATATTTGCATTTCAAAATCGAGGGTGTGGAGTGAACTTTAGGGGGTTAATTAGACTCAACACAATACATATAGCCCTAACCCTAACAGTACACTAAACATACTGTACATGTACATGTAACCCAAACCCCAATCGCAACCCTACATGTACATACACATCTTTAAGTTTGACAAAGTAAATCTGGCACAAATGTAACTCGAGTGTCACCGAGTAAATCCTCTTAAATGTACAAGGAAATCAGGCTTCTGAGACCTTACCTTTGTTTTGAATACAATAGCAATGATTGCTGCAATCAGTTGAAGCATGAAGACGATGGTGATGGTCCAGCCAAACTACAAAGAAAAAAGAAAAGAAAAAAATAAATGATGGAAATTGTGTGTAGACTTCTTTGATGCAAATTGATTTTTCAGCATTTGTCAGCATGTGTATCATTCAATATACGGTGCTAAATTAGGGGTAATTAAATACCGTACATAAAGGGAGAAAGGATCTTGTTTAAGGGGAATTTGGGATAAACAGGATGAAATTAAAACACACCAGACATAAGAAAAAAAGGAAATTTCCTAACAAATCCTAATAATAATCTGAATTAATGCTCAGATTCTGTGCTTTTTCAATGGCTTGGTAATAATGGACTACACTAGAATGACCTGTATGGAAAATAGTAATTAGTCATATTTTGTTGTATAACAACGACTCTTATGAAACTGAACTGATCATTAAAAGTTGTCTGAATGATATGTCAGAGATTGAGTGCTTTTTATAAATAGGGGGGGGGGGTTAAAGAAGTATAGTTCTACCAGATTTAAAATACATCTTGTGTAGAAAGATGACTGCATTAGGGGGCTTCATTATCTTATCATTGATTTTAAAATTAATAAACCGGTAATGTGAATGGACTTTCATGATATTTGCAAAAAGTGTTATTTGCACTTACAATTTTGAGGAGTAAGATGTTTTCTCGAAGCGCCCCCACACATCCAATGAACGTCAGGATGAACATGAACGCTCCAAGAACGATGAGGACAGTAGAGGGATTGAGGAGGACATCGCTCACCGCTTCATAGTTCCTCTTCTCAAACTCAGCATAGATTCCAACGGACAGAATCGTGGCTCCTACAAGCTTTTGAGTAAAGAAAAGGAAAACAATGCAATATTAAATTTCCACTTTTAATATTGCCTTGTATTCAAAAATACAATATATTTTTTGTTTGTTAGTTACTTTTTCTTTCTCTCTCTTTCTTTCTTTCTTTCTTTCTTTCTTTCTTTCTTTCTTTCTTTCTTTCTTTCTTTCTTTAATGGAGCTTTATTATAACTTATCATTGAAAAGTGAGATTGTGTTGTAGTAATTTTTCATGGGGCCTTTTTTTCAACCAGAGCTCTTTTGGAGCTGTTTGCAAAATTGCTTTCTACTCCTGTATATTCATTTCACCGATATCTCATTTTACATCACAGGCAAACATGTATACATTATATACAGCACTGAGAAATAACCATTCACAAATCAAACAAGTAGGTCATGCCATGCATGTATAATTATGCACAGCAGAGTATGAAACAGTATGGTAGCAATACTGCTATCGAAATTCTAGATGGCTGCAAACTTTTTTCCCCGTTATGCTGAGTAAAACAAGGAAAATCACAGTATAACAAATTAACACCTACATGTATACACACATGTACAATGTACATGTACATGTATGAATCACCTACAAATGATCGAGTCACATACATTTGTACACTGCTCCTATTTCCCTGTCGTTTTGTAATGTAACTTCTGTCGAAACTGTATGTCCTTCAAAGTATTACAACACACATTGTCCTTTTTGGACGATGGTTGCCAATCAAATAACTTAAATTAATAACAACATGATTCTGTGTCATCATCATGGTATTTGCCATTATCTAGCCCTTCAAAATTCATCTTTCCTTCAGCAAACACATTTATAAAGAATATTCACACAAGAACTATATCATTACAATGCTTTTAAAGCAAAAACAAGTGGCTTGCGAAGCCATAACATGTCATTTGATATTTGTACTAAATGCTACACACTTGATAGTGATAAGTAATGCATGGTTTCAGTATAGGAACTAGTAAACTCTACCTCTACCGTGAATTGGTACCATGTTATTTCTTTCAAAATCATGACCACTCTTTTCTGCTGGTCATATCTATCACACCCTAAAAAAAGAGGGAGAAGAAAAAGAATACAGCAAGTGCTATCATATGCCTTGCTTCATGAGGATGTATTTCTCGGTTTTTTATTCTTCTTAAAAATCTTCTTCTTTTTTTTTATTATGAGAACTTAATTTAATGGCTTTAAAATCCATACCTTTGCATAAATTAAGGACCATGTTTCACTACAATTAATTCAATTATTGACAAAGATATTCATAGCTTTTTAGCATGCAGTAATATCCAGCAAACATCTGAATACAAGACTACAAGAGACCTCGGCGTAAATATTCATGATTGAATGACACACGCCCTTAAAACTAAAACAACAACAACAGTAACAGTAGACAGGAAGCTTCTACCCTTCTACATGTACAGTAGCTGAATCTAGACTCAAAGCTCATCGTTCGCAGGCACACGCTTTTCATAACAGATAGCAGAGGGTCTGAACTAATCCATGATATAGACTAAATGTAGTATACAATAGGAATTGAATTGTACATCCTTGTGTACATGTCCAATTGTCCATATAATTAATTGTCAACACTGTTGTATTGTATGTTTTGGAATTAGGCATATTCCTTTCATTACATGTACATGTGTACATGTTGATGAACAGAGCATCATTTCATGACACCATCAAAAGTGCAGGTGCACCGACATGCTATTGGAACTCATGTTAATCACATGTAATAATCACAAGTTAATGAACTTGTACTTATTATGACAATTACATGAAATTCTGAACATGAAATGCTCTAGATATGTTTTAATATTTGGTTTGCAAGGGTCTGGAATATCAAGACTAAATGAGATGCTGTCTTCACTATGCTCAGATTGACAGGATGCTGTTTAAGTGGTTACCAGGATACGATCAGAAACTTGACTCATCGCTTCACCTTGTTAAAATCAAACCTCTAAAAATGAGTCACAAGTTTCAGGAACTGTTCCTAGGGTGTGTGTGGCTGGCCTATAGGGTTTTGATGATATTATGAATGTTTGTTATTCTGATGGTTTGTTTGTTTTGAAAAAAGTACATTGTACATTATTTCAGGGGTTCAGCATTCATTAGTTTGTTAAATACCAGACTCTCAACGTAATTACACTAGGGGGTTCATTAATCAGTACCGGACTACCGGTATATTAAAGGGTGGATGGTTAAATTTAACCATTTGATGCCTTCATTCAAAGACTCTTAACGATTTCTTTAATTAAAGAAACTGTTTGCAGTACAAACCTTCTGATAAACAATCTTCTAGATAACAAACTTTTGAAGCAGACTTTTATCTTTGGCAAAACTTCAGATATCAACTTTGTGATAACAAAACTTTAGATCTAGCAAACAATTTGTTTAAAGCTGTTTGGGCTGCGTGTGTATGGTCACTACATGGAGTAATCATTTCTGAAGGTTATGCATGGCATTTTACTTTTGCCCAAAATAGTGAATATTAATTCTAATTAACGAGTCATTATTGGTAATGGTGTGATATTGAATTACTATTATACACACTGTGCATACCTGAACTTTGTGTTGCAATTTTTCAAATGTATGTGGGCGATTTGCAAAGAAATATAATAATTACACATTGTAAATTTCCTATGGTGTACGGTACCTACAATCGGCAGAGATGTAAGCTTGCTACATGTAGTAGCTCAATAACAGTTTCACTGCAAATGATAGGCCTAAAGCTGGTCTGGCTACTAATAGTGTCATATTGGCCTCTAAATGCAGGCCTTCTGTACCCCCCCCCCCCCCCTCCAATTAAGACATTTTAAAAGGGGGCACATATGAAGAAAAAGAAGGTTCGGAAGGAAAACAGAGTAGCCCTGCCTATACTTTGGAAACCTGTTTTTCTGTTAAAAATTATGTACAGTATGATGCAAGGTAATCAGGGGCACATTGCATTAAACTTGGCATTAATGGCAACTTTGCCATTAATGGTAACTTCCATGGAAACCTTGCCTTCATTGGCTGTTGAGTGATGTTGCCATGCTAGTTAATATTAATGGAAAAGTTACCTTCAGTGATAAGTTTTATGAAATGGGGGCCCAAACTAGAAAAAAAAACAGTTCACCAGCTCAATTTAGATCCAAGAGTAGAACACTTGTCAAGCTTAAAAGGTCAGTTATCCTATCCTGTATTCACAAAACAATCTTTGGCATACCTGTACAGGTACATACATGTAGTATTGCCCTCCCCCTTTTTTTCTTTTTTCTCTCTTTTGTGTGTGTGTTAAGCCTGGTGTGTGTGTTTGTGAACTTGCAAAAAAGGGACAAATAATTAGACTACAGTATGTTTGATGACTTTAGTCAATTGCACCTACATTATATTACATGCACTCTACATCCAATAACAATAAACATGTACCAGTGCACCTGTACATGTACAGGTAGCCTATGCAAACATCCCTGCGGCTTGAAAAAAGGAACATACAATAAGCAAATAACCTTGTCCACTATTGTGTGCAACTGTGCAAAGTTCAAACAGTGCAAATAAGAAATTATTTTTAAAAATCACATCATTATCTCAGACCTGTTTTCCTACTGCTATTGCATAAGTTGAATATTAGTTATTACTTACATTGGGTATAAACGGGTAGGGATTAGGACGATATAAGAAATGAAAAGTAGTAAATGTTTATAGGCCAACTAAAATAAAACAAACAGTGCATTGTCATGTAAAGTGCACTTTTTTCAAATATAGTGTACCAATTATGGGTCAAATACTAGCATGTTCAGAGACTGCAGGAAGTTTGGAGGTGTACATAAGGATGTACTTGTACATACAAAATATATTGAAGATAACGGATTACAAAGAAAATATGGAGACATGTTAAAAAATTAACAAATTAATCAAAAAACGAATGCTCAAGGAAGTTCATGGACAAAAATATGTAAATAGCTCATTAACAATAATTCATATTGCTGTTTGAAACTGAATAGCCCTGGATTCATGATCAATTTGAAAGGGGCTCTTCAAGGACGTATCATTTTCATATTTCATAAAACAATCATGTTTCTCATCACTTTTGGAGATAAATATTTGAAAGGTATTTTCCAAGGCTAAACAATAAAGTTGAGTTGGCATACTTTACTTTTCCAGATAATTACATGTACAACTTCAGAAGTTCAGGTAAATCATTTTGTATAGTTATAGCTTCTGTTCGTTTTTACTTTCTGTAAGCTGTTGACATGAATGGAAGTACGATATACAAAATGCAGCAGAAGAGAGAACATGTTATTATTCATGTATGCATGTTCAGGAAGGGCCTACAGTTTCCTGAAGTTTAGTTTTGCTTATAATTAGTTTGGTTACCTTCCTACATACATGTACATGTACACATGACTATCTACAGACAACAGTTCCAACTTAATGCTCTCATCTGCAAAAATCATTTTCAAAGTAATAGCAGGAGCAGCGAGCGCAGCATTGTTGAATATTATTTTATTTATTTATTCATTGTAATGTTATGTCTTGTAACACCTACATGTAATACAAACTATAAACCAGGAATTTAATACTCAAAAGTAGCAGCTACGCACTGCCATTGGCACTGCACTGCACTATCAATTTCAGCAGAGCAGTTTTTGCGCTCTCAATTTCACAAGTACAGCGGAATCTCAGCCGCACCCTCGGCCGGAGATGCAGGGAGCACTGCACAGCATGTGCACTTTGGGCTGCTGGTGCTCAAGGAAATTTGTTATGTTGTCAACATCGGGGAAAGTTGTATATTGTAGGATAATTTACTAGCAGAAGAACATCAAGATTCATATAACTTACCCAAAAGAAGATATTGTAAATCACAACAAGAACCTTCAAAGTTGTGTGACCACAGTCAGGTTTGCGAATTCTCGGCATTTTGAGAGATTTTCAGGGCCTCCGCAGAACTAAAGGTTTCCTTTCTGATTAACTTCTAAATCTAAACATTAGAGGATCTAGTTTTGTTTCCAGACACTCACGATATTTTCTTGGCATAACAATATGGATTGGGGGAAGAAAATATATTTTGCACAACATTCCATACTAGTGATGAATGATTAAAATGTCTAAAATCATATGAATATAAACAGTGGGGACATGCTATGTGTCTTTTGATTATTTAATCATCATTATTATTTTCATCCCGGGATAGCTTCTACTTTTAAAGACTAGAAGCTAGGAGTCTCGGTAGCTGTGTACAACGGTGCACAAGTCAGTATCTCATTTATTAATTTCGGAGGGGCACTCCATATAGGGGCAGTCGGATCATATCGACACGCGCACTTTTATTTTGGGCATGGGGGTTCCCCTGTAGGGGTTTCTCCTCCCGCGTGAATTTCGCGCAGAAACTTAAATCATCTGTGCAAATTGTGAACAATAACAAAAAGTCGAGGTGATGCATATAATTATTGCTGTATTGATGCATTAATGATAGTTTTCTTTGCTTGGATATGAATTCGTTGTGGAGCTAGATTATAAACACACCTTTTCTCCGCTCTCGTTCATAGGCATTATTATCCCCGTAATATTTGTTTTAACTTAATGATAGTTTTCTTTGCTTGGATATGAATTCGTTGTGGAGCTAGATTATAAACTCACGTCACAATTTCGTTCACACTAAAACGATAAGTTAAAACAAATATTACGGGGATAATAATGCCTATGAACGAGAGCGGAGAAAAGGTGTGTGACCCCTTATGCATGTCATATAAATATTTATGTTACTTTATACCCTGTCCATGAATATCAATGTGTAGGCCAGCTATCATTACCAACTAATTTATAGATAACCCAGCCAGAGTCTGTAAATTGTATTTGTGCCGCATATATTGGGCGCGGGGGCAAAGAAAGTTAATTCAAAATATTGCATTACATAATCTATATGCAGATTGTGTATAATGGACAATTGCCATGAGAAAATATATTATATGTGGGAAAAAGAAAGAACTTTTCATGTTTTGTTAATTAAGGTTCGATTTTTTTTTTTGAAAATTATTGAAAACTTAAAAGTTCATGAATTAAAAAGATATAAATTTAAAAGAATCAATTATAGGTTAATTTAGGGGCGGCGATCCCGGGGGACGGGGGGACACGTCCCCTCAATTTTTTTAAGGGGGATCGTCCCCCCCCCCCCCAAAATTGGAAAAAGTGCACACACAAAAATGTATAGCAAATACTGACTAAAGACTGGCTCTGGAGGGCCGAAGAGTGCAGCGTTTAAACAAATAAATATGCAAAAATCTTCTCACTTGGTAGCTACGCTCCCTCGCATAATATCCTTCAAAATGTACAAGTAAATACCGAGAAAATTAAAGTGTGAGAAAGTATATCGCTTGTTTTTATACTATAGTTTTGCTAAGGAATGTAATTTTTTTAATACAACAAAACTTCAAAAACCTGTGAGGGGGTAGTCACTTCCGTCTCCTTCACCCCTCTCATTCACTATGCTCCCTCGCACTCGCGTATACTGATGGGGGGGGGGGGGCGGGGGCCTTTGGGGGCAGTTACCCCAAAATAGAATTCAAACGTGGTTTATTTCTAATTCGATACCAGCTAGGGATTTACAAATGTTGTTGAAATGGCATGATTTTTCCCTCAGCTTCCGGGGGCTCTGCCCCTGGACCCCACCAAGGGCTCCAAGGCTGGCCCCTAGTTGCTCATCTGTCCGTAATTAAACGTCTGAGCTTCCAGGATCCCACCAAGGGCCCTAAGGCGGCCCCTGGATGCTCATCTGATCGTAATTTAATGCCTAAAACCCCTGAGCTTCTGGGGGCTCCACCCCCTGCACACCACTCCAATAAGTGACTTGCATGCCAGTATCTCAAATAAGGTATCAAAATATGCTCATCTGACCGTAATTAAATGTCTAAAACCCCTGAACTTCGAGGGGCTCCGCCCCCAGGATGCTCATCTGACCTTAATAAATGCCTAAAACCCCTGAACTTTATGAGGCTCCGCCCCTTGACACCCCCAGTGCTTTGCCCCTGGACCCCACGCCAATTTACGCTCCACTTTGCTTTGCTCTACCTGATCGTAAATACTGTGACGAATATATGAAAATGATCTTTCTCTTTCTTACTCTTTCTCTTTATATATTTGTGAATATTATATAAAATGTCTTTTATAATCGTTATTTATTTGTGACATGTTTTTTAACGGATTGCTCTGAACGAGCGACTAGTCTACAAGTAGCATGTGCTCTTTGTTTATCAACAATGCTTAATTTATTCCACTATTGATCAATAACTTAATATTCATGTATTATTCATTAGTTTAAGGCGCGATCCAAGGTGCGCAGCCAATTAAATGATTGTATATGCGCGTACGGTTTTCTTTTCCATGCGCGACCCAACCAGTATAAATAGTCCGCGCGTGGGTTACTGGGTTACCCAGGTACGTGACTGACCCCCCCCCCCCCCAAAAAAAAAAAATTCAAAGAGAGGGGCCATAATATTAAACAAAAGGCAAAATATTAAAAAAGGAAAAATATTAAAAAAGGAAAAATATTAAAAAAGGAAAACTATTTAAGAAGGTAAAATATTAAAAAAGAAAAAATATTAAAATAGGGTCTAAAAGATAAATTTAATCATTTAAATGTAACCCTTTTTAATCATTTGCTTGCTCTATTTATTAAACCTCAAAAACACCCCTTAATTATACTTCGGTGAAAGAAGCCCCACTACCGTGCTGTCCGTCTTGAAAATGCATAGGATGGGGCCTTGTTCACGAGTATACAGTATAGTCGTGGTACAGGCCCCATGTCCGTGTTGTAGAACATGCAACGCCGTTGCGCGGGGCCTATATCACGAGTATATATAGCGAGTTGAATAGGAGACTCGCTAATATATACTCGTGATACAGGCCCCGCTGCTGTGTTGAATTGTGCGCGATGCCGTAGCGCGGGGCCTATATAACGAGTATATAAGTATAGTCGTTATACAGGCCCCGCTGCTGTGTTGAAGTGCGCGCGATGCCGTTGCGCGGGGCGCGTTATTTTTTTATGCGGCACAGATTGGGGCATGGCGCGTGTTAAACCTATGGGAAGTACGTTCTTTCCCTTCTGAATAGTGTCTGCACGTACGTGAGACTAGTCATGTTTATAGCTAGCGCATTAGCGCTGCGAAGAAGCTTGTGTATCCATCGCGAACTGTGTTTAGATGACATTCCTCTTTGTTTAAATTAGTTAAGTTTTATTGACTAATTATTGTGATGTTCTCCTTATTGACGTGCTGCCTCCTCTTCAGATTTCCAATTTGATTTTAATTGTTGATGTAATGATTTTCCATGCGGTAGTGGATTAAATGTAACACTATTAAAAACAGACCTCTACTACTATACTGTCTAGTACGCACACGACCAGTATTAGTCTGTAAATCAAGACCCCTTTTTAAAAAAAGCCCCAATCTGTGCCGCATAAAAAAATAACGCGCGCGGGGCTTAGATCACGAGTATATATAGTGAGTTGGCTGAAGTTAGAAGCCTAGTTTAAAATTATAATCGATTCAAAACAGTTGCGGGGCCTATATCACGAGTATGCCGATAATGATATCTCTATATAATAATTAAACTATAATCCCATGCCAATATTCATACACTTAAGGGAGACACTGTGTCCCTAAAACGATAATGGGACGTTCCGTCCCTCTAAAAATAGGACGCACCGACCGTCCTAGACAAGTTCAAGGACGTTTCGTCCATTCACTACCGGTACTGGACATTCCGTCTTGCTTCCCCCCATCCAAACTATAACAAATATAGATGCCTATTTCCAACTTCATATATCACCATCAAAAATACTTCAAAACCTCTCTTCATATACACCACTCTGACCGCATTGATCCATAGAACAATAAAATATCCCTCTCCCTCTATCATTTTAGAAGAATCCTAGTAAATTTGCATAAGTAAACATTGTATGAGTCACTATTTATATTCACCTTTCGCGTAATACCCTGTAAATAAAACTGTAGTCGCGTACTAGCCTGTAAAAAGCTGTCAGTCACGTACCTGGGTAACCCAGTAACCCACGCGCGGACTATTTATACTGGTTGGGTCGCGCATGGAAAAGAAAACCGTACGCGCATATACAATCATTTAATTGGCTGCGCACCTTGGATCGCGCCTTAAACTAATGAATAATACATGAATATTAAGTTATTGATCAATAGTGGAATAAATTAAGCATTGTTGATAAACAAAGAGCACATGCTACTTGTAGACTAGTCGCTCGTTCAGAGCAATCCGTTAAAAAACATGTCACAAATAAATAACGATTATAAAAGACATTTTATATAATATTCACAAATATATAAAGAGAAAGAGTAAGAAAGAGAAAGATCATTTTCATATATTCGTCACACTATCCCCCTCTTTCTAAGTTGCTGACCCAGCAACCAGTAGCTGAAATACATTTATCATTATTTACAGCATCTTTACACAATAACAACAATATAACCAATTATTCTTCATTCTCAAAATATCTCTTTACATCTTAAGATAAATCCAATATCATCATTCAATTATGCTCTCCATATCTCAGCACAAGTGAATTTAGGAGAAATATGAATGGCATCAATTTGCCCTTCCAGTCCAGTTTCATTTCCATGAATCTCCAGCGGTGTAGTCATCGCAGATTCACCTTCTCATTCTATTTACCAAAATAGAAAAACAAACAAAAATACTGAATATAATATACATCATAAAAATATCAAGTTGATTAACTGCATCTTTATCTACTGTTTTCAATTACAGATATCATCCAGTCGACCACATTGTGTACAGGGCCGCCTCGAGAGACCGTCTGCGTTCATGTGGACTCGTCCTGGTCTGTGTTGAAGGGTAAGTCTATACTGACTGATTACTTCCAACCATCTAGCCAGCTGTCCTTCCGGGTTCTTGAAAGTCATGAGCCATCTTAATGCTCCATGATCAGTCCGCACCAATACATCTTGTGCATAGAGATAATGCCGAAAGTGTTTGACAAACACAACAATAGCGAGCAACTCCCTTCTAGTTACACAGTAATTCTGCTCTGCTTTACTGAGGGTTCGACTAGCATACGCTACAACTCGCTCATGTCCATCATGCTCCTGGAATAAGACTGCTCCTATTCCATATTTACTAACATCTGTATCTAGTATGTATTTCTGTCCAAGCTTGGGTACCGTAAGCCAGAATCGGGGCGGTAGTGAGTTTTTCCTTGAGTAGCTGGAATGCATACTCACATTCAGGGGTCCAGAGAAAAGCACGATTTTTCTCGGTAAGAGCATGAAGTGGTTTTGCAGCATTTGCAAAGCTTTTGATGTATCGTCGATAGTACGATGCCAATCCAAGGAAAATTCTCACTTCAGTCTGAGTTTTAGGCTGGGGCCAACTTTTGACTGTCTCAATTTTTGCCGGGTCAGTCCCTACACCTTCCTCAGATACCACATGTCCAAGATACAAGACCTCTTTCTGAAAAAGGTGACATTTCTTTGGTTTCAGTTTTAGCTTTGCCTCCCGTAGCCTCTGTAGTACGATTTTGAGTCTTGCCAACACTTCTTCCATAGTAGGACCAAACCCAATCACGTCATCCAAGTAAACTACCCAAATCTTCCTCTGCAAACCATCTAACACTTTTTCCATAAGCCATTCAAAGGTAGAGGGGGCATTCCAGAGTCCAAATGGCATTACTTCAAATTGAAATAAATAATTCCAGACGTCGAGTCCTTTTTCTTCAGACTCATTTCCTTCACCATTTGCATGATCTCACCGATACTTGATCTCAACTCATCAATTTCCTTTCTCGTCTTTTTGTCCACAGGTTCTGACTTCACGGTATAGTGTGTACAGCACAAACAGGATGACTTGGATGAAATCTTTCACAGGGCTCCCTCAGCCTTATGAATGCCTCAGTCATCAATCCAGCCTGGATTGCATCATTTAGAGTGGCTGGATGAGAACGGAAAATTCCAGCTCTAATTTCCGAATCATCGATAGAGTCTGAGAAGTGAGCTCTTGCATCAGCCGTCAATTCAGGATATGCACAGCCAGACAACTCATGGATAGCCCGACCAAATTCCTACAGTGACTCCTTAGGATGACGTTTCCTCATTTCCAACTTAAAGAGAAAGTTTCGAGCCTGGTCACCTGAACCAAACCTGCCATCAGGGTAGAACACGAGCTCCGTGTAAGTGAAGATGTGTCCGTGTGGAAGATTGTGCAACATGTTTAACGCTAATCCTTGTAAGCGAGTTGCCAAATACTGTCCAGCCTCCGCATCACTCCAGTTATTGAGACGCATACAGACATCAAAGTGTCTTCTATATTCCGACCAGGGGATTTTCCAGCAAACTTGCCCGGAAGTATTTCCTTCTCCGATTCGGTGTAAAGACACGTCTATGTTCCTCAGGAATGGCATTTCCATAAAAGCCATGTCTAGTACGATTTCTGGATCCTGGACATCCATTTCCAAGCATCTTGGTTCCTGTTGGACACTCTGTCCCCGTTGGACACCTGGTCCCATTTGGACATTGTCCGGACACAGCCAGCGTAATTCCAGACACTCCGTCCAGTCCGTCAGGAACTTGACCTCTTGGATCCATTTTTTTAATATTTCAATTCATAGTGCCAAGCAAGAATTTTTTAAGTCACCAGTTAACCTCTTACAATGTTGTTTTTGTACAATTTAATTTAAGTGTACTTTTATTATTATTTGTACATATACTCTATTGAAAAGTTGCACTCATAAGTTTAGAAGTTCATGATACCGATCTTGTCTGGTTTGCACTAGTTTCCTAATTACTGTACGTTTACTACATCATAAAAAAATAACACTTTTTATTTCCTCTAAGTGATAAACATAATTTATCACCAAAACAAGAACACAACTCATCTTAGAATTGCAGTTAATCGCAATTAAAGATGCTTCTAAATCCCACCGCTGCCACCATTGTGACGGTTTCTGGCGTGTGAAATCAGGGAAGAAGAGGGGGGGGGGGTTGATTTGATAGAAATCCCACCGCTGCCACCATTGTGGCGGTTCTGGCGTGAAATCAGGGAAGAAGAGGGGGGGGGGTTAGAAAGAAAATCCCACCATTGTGACGGTTTGATAGAATCGGGGAATCAAGGGGGGTGGTTAATATGCTTCCACCAGTGTCCCAAAATCATCCCCATCGCTACATAAACTTTCTCCTACTACCATTATAGCGAATTCTATCAATATAGGGAATACAAGTAAAACAGGTCTGGAAAGAAGACTACATTCATAACCACTTTTATGTCAGTCCCTTATACCATGAATTACCATGACGGTTGCTGCCACCACCTAGTCTTAATCTGGAGCGCTAGGATCTCCAAAACAACACGGTTTGTGTGTTTACATTTACTCTGTAATCTGATACACTCTCACTTACATACACAGATTCCTAAGAAACGGACCATGCGTCCTTCTACTAGTATACGCTTAAAGTCATTGTGACGTATGGCAATTGCTTCCTTTTGGGACGCACTGTCTCGTCCTTTCCCAATCTGTCTCTCGTCACGTGCAAGACGCACTGTCTCACTCTGGGAAAATCCGGTATTGATTTGGCCATTTCCACTCAAAGTTAGCTTCTAGAGTCTCAAACCACTTCACAATATCTTCCATCCTTTTATAGGTGAGTGTTATTCTCACCCCTGATACCGTAATTAAGTATCATTAAGTAGGAACTAATCATGTTTTTGTCTCTCTAACAAGCCTCACAACACCATTTAGACCATAATCATGTCCCATACATTCGTTTCTGTGTATCAAGTCTTCCACTCAGTCACTCACTAAATAACAAAAATAGTATCTTATTCCCTTTCACACTTCCGAGCGATATATAAGGCACGATGACCTGAGTCCGTTTGTCTGAAATATACAGACGAAGTTTTGTGTTCCTGTTTAGTAATCATTCCTACAGTAAGTTCTAAATCTACTATAGATTTTGTACGGTATCATCAACAATGCATACTTAATTTACTAGGCAAACCAGACTAACAAGATTTGTAACTTGAAATCGATCTAAAATCGAATAATGAATTTATTATCCACTAAGCCATTTCTAGGCAACTGTTCAACAATATAAGAACTGTAAAACTCTCAACAAGTATAGAAATACTTCCATGAACTTACTAACTTACTGATTGCTACTACTAGATATACATTAATTAATTATTGTAATAAATGTTTAGACCTACTGCTTGTATTATTTATACAGTATTTCTTAGCTTTAATTTACAGGATGTCAACACTTAATTGACTAGTATAGACTGCATACGATTTAAATAATGTACATGTATAAACTTACTGAACTTATAGATAGAGGCTTTTCTAACAAACTTTACAAACCACCATGGCTATCAAACCAAAGTTAGCATTTCTTTCTAACTCCTATTACAAGTAACTCTATTCTGACCGACTACTAGTATTCTCGGTACTCCTACCCCTTGAAACAACTATCTACCTGCGCCCGACACCTTTGGCCAATGTGTCCCTATCGTCCCCATTCTACAAGAATGAAACATTTAAACCAATACACCCTTCCGACCAGGATTTCAAAAGTCTTTCCACTCCTTTATTAAGTAACAAGCTAACACACTCTGTCGGTTAAACATTGTACCTATATAAATCCATCATCACCGTTATAAACTAGCCTCGAGTATTTATCTCCTAGTTATAACTTACTCCAGAATATACTTGTATAAGATTTGACTTTCTAAATTCAAAGATAACCGGCATTCCATTGAATTCGTCCCTTACTGTCTTAAGTTCGCACCTCTTAATTATGTAGTAAAGTAATAATTGCCTGATTTAGATAGGCTCGTAAATGCAGCTATTTAATTAATTAACTACGAGTGTACATATTCAACTGTCCACTATTCAATGTCATTCTATTAATATACATGTCATGCTATATACAATAATGAGTGCAATTCAAATGAGTAAGAAGGGGGGGGGGAAGAAAAGAGACACTGTGTCCATGTCCAAATCTAAGGACACTGTGTCCTCCAAGACAAGCCCATGCATTGTCTATACATATAACGTTCTGTGTCCATTCCAGGTTGAAGGACACACTGTCCCTTCCAAGACAGGACGAAGAAGGAGAAAGGGGGGGGGGGGGGGAGTTACACTCATGCCTGTAATAAACTGTTATATATGCATTAAATAAATGTAGATAATAAACTATAGATATACGACAAAGTTGTTTCTCCAACTCTCTCGATCCTTTATACACTTTCTATACAATATCTATATACAATATCAAGTTCATTAAAACATCATTATACGATCTACGGAGTATCACGCCCTCTAGACGAATACATTTGTTATAAGTTAAGCGTTATACAATATTAAATATATGAATTAAACTACGGAGGCACTGGTGACTTTCGGCCTTAATTAGGTCACAGAGGACCGAAGCCTTCCTTTCCAAATATTCATAGTCTAGGAGAAAATCAAGACAACAATACAATGTAATATTTCTTATCAAACATAGTTAAACTGGCCATAGAAATTAAACTAGAAATGGCTAGACTTGAGATATGACCGCATTTGGGACAGATTGTCAGTCTGCCCAACGACCTGAATCACACTCAATTTTATGTGTCCAAATTAATCAATTAGGACACCAAAGAGCAAAATCTCTCTCTTCCAAAATAGGTTGACCAATTCTAGATTTATTCCTTAACAAAAATGGCAATATTATCTTCACAAAGAAGAAGATAATCACACAAAATAGACATTTCACATAAGAAAAACATCTTTCATGTATTTGTATAATGATAATGAGGCAATATCGTGAAATAGGCCCGCAACTTACCCGTCTTGTAATCGATTACAAATCATCTTAGACTTCTAACTTCAGTCTTCAGCCAACATTTTCATGACGGACAGCAATAAAAGGGAGATAAAAGGGGGTTGAAAGGGACTTATTTTTTTAATAAAAATTAGGAGGAGGGGGGGGGGGGGGGGGGGGGGGGGGGGCCCCCCCAAAAAAAAATTATAAAAGGAAAAATAGTTAACTAAAAGATAAATTTAAAGAGAGGGGGGGGGGGGGGGGGGGCCCCCCCAAAAAAAAAAAAAAAAATTCAAAGAGAGGGGCCATAATATTAAACAAAAGGCAAAATATTAAAAAAGGAAAAATATTAAAAAAGGAAAAATATTAAAAAAGGAAAACTATTTAAGAAGGTAAAATATTAAAAAAGAAAAAATATTAAAATAGGGTCTAAAAGATAAATTTAATCATTTAAATGTAACCCTTTTTAATCATTTGCTTGCTCTATTTATTAAACCTCAAAAACACCCCTTAATTATACTTCGGTGAAAGAAGCCCCACTACCGTGCTGTCCGTCTTGAAAATGCATAGGATGGGGCTATACTCGTGATACAGGCCCCGCTGCTGTGTTGAATTGTGCGCGATGCCGTAGCGCGGGGCCTATATAACGAGTATATAAGTATAGTCGTTATACAGGCCCCGCTGCTGTGTTGAAGTGCGCGCGATGCCGTTGCGCGGGGCTTAGATCACGAGTATATATAGTGAGTTGGCTGAAGTTAGAAGCCTAGTTTAAAATTATAATCGATTCAAAACAGTTGCGGGGCCTATATCACGAGTATGCCCTCGCATCAAGCAAAGAGGAGATCCCCTACTTCGCTGCTATTTTTGGCTTAAAATTGCTTTTTATGACGTCAAATGATTAAAAATCATCAAGTTTTGGTATGTTTATATTTGCATATATTAGCATAATTAATATTATTGATATTAAATCCATAATAAACTGAGATTTTCAGCTGGGGCACTAAAGTCCGGGTTTTTGTTTCTCCTTTCTTCTCAACAGTAATTTTCCTGTAGTCCTCCTATGAAAAAATGAATAAATAAAATGATATGCATTACAAATTTGTAAGCATACTATGTTAGGGAGGCCAATGCCCGGGCGTAAGGCTTCTACGCCTACGATTTGTGCGCTCGTCGTCCAAGTCAGAAAATTACCAGAAGAAAAAAAAAGGGAAAAAAAAAGAAAACAAATATCTATGGAATCAAATGTATAACAAATACACAATTACACGCTCCACAACATACCTATAATCACGGATCTGTAACAGTCTTTCACCCTTTGTTGACGATCTTGCAGATTTTGACGTTTTTAGATCCAATAATTCTGTTAGCAGACGAAAATAACGCACGGACAAGAGAAACTAGAAGGGTCCTAGAGGGCGATGAGGTTAGCTCACTAAAATCCTTCTCAATGACTGAAGGTAGAGCCTAAAAATATGGAATCAATTTAATATCAAAGAACTTTTGATAGAGATTAACATATTAGTTGTGTTCAAATGTCACTTTTAACAACTAGAAAATATAACGAAAAACGATTATATCTTTTTAATTGCAAATTTTTACAAACTACACAACCGAAGGTAGATAGAGTACGATGTTTTTGTCAATCTTGCGTTGGTTTGAGCCCCATAGCTAGAGCCATCTCAAATTGGGGACGAAAACTGTGCACAAAGACATGATTGTTCGAGCCCCAACTAGAGATTATACATGAATATGTATGAGCGCCGAAGTTGCGACTTGCCATTGCGACATCAAAATATGAATAATGTATGAGCTGCAAAAGAAAGCGCGCGCCAAACGTACCAACGTAGTCTCACACCGAGTCCCTTATTGTGACAGCACTAAACACGGTGTCGAGCTCGTTTTCGGAGTGCAGTGAATCATGTACGAGTTCTGTATGAGTAGTGTTTATAAAAGATATTTGAGTAAAAATGACTGGATAACAGTCTATACTCCAATTGTGGAAAAAGGAGGGAAAACGTGTCATACATTGAAGCTGTGTAATTGGCCTGTCTAATTCACTGGACGGATTAGCGTGTAGGAAGAATCCGAAGCCAGCGCGCGGTAGAGCTAGAAAGAGAGAGAGAGAGAGAGAGTAGCATACGCGTACACGTAGAAGGAATCCGAAGCCACAGTGCATTGATCAGCGGTAGAGCTAGAGAGAGGGAGAGAGAGAGAGGGTTTGTGCGCTGCCTTAATTAGCTTTGCACGAGCAAGTACAAATTAAAGAGAAATCTAGCATAGGATGTTGTTCTAGTCGATTGTACAGTAGACTGAAATCATTAGGAAAACAAGTTGAATAAGGTTAAATCTCGGATTCAAATACTAGTACATGATTCCTTAACCTATATAATGGGATAGGTGGTAGTACCAAAACAGGTAAAAAGGAAGAATGTGTTAAGTCGAGGCTCACTGATTATATACTCACCTAAATATGGTAAAAGGTTACTGGCGCAATCCAAAATGGACATGCGGACGGTCTCATGTAACAGCAACTTTGTATGAATTCTATCTCATCAATAAAAAATAAACAATAAATATTCCAAAATTCGGAAGGACAAGTGTAAGTTAAAAAATTATTAGAAGTACAAAACGATTGAAGCATTGAAAGTTGGTAATCCTTCCCATAAATAAGGGCCACTCCGATTGGACGCGGTTCGATTGCTCTTCTTAGGGGATCCATGATTGTGTGAGGATTATAATACACAATCGATCTTTAATTAATTTGACACAACAATTACACATGGTTTGTAACTTGTGTTACCCCATTGCAACATTGATATTGTTACCATTCTACTGAA